CGTGGGTTCCATGCTGCGATGTTGACTACCTCGCCTGGTACGCAGGAGGTCATGGGTTCCATGCTGAGACGTTGACTACCTCGGCTGGTACGCGGGAGGTCGTGAGTTGAATGTTGAGATGTTGACTACCTCGCCTGGTACACAGGAGGTCGTGGGTTCCATGTTGAGATGTTGACTACCTCGCCTGGTACACAGGAGGTCGTGGGTTCTATGTTGAGATGTTGACTACCTCGCCTGTTACACAGGAGGTCGTGGGTTCCATGCTGAGATGTTGACTACCTCGCATGGTGTACAGGAGGTCGTGGGTTTAATGCTGAGATGTTGACTACCTCGCCTGGTGCACAGGAGGTCGTGAGTTGGATGCTGAGACGTTGACTACCTCGCCTGGTACCCAGGAGGTCGTGGGTTCCATGCTGAAACGTTGACTACCTCGCCTGGTACACAGGAGGTCGTGGGTTCCATGCTGAGATGTTGACTACCTCGCCTGGAACACAAGAGGTCGTGGGTTGCATGCTGAAATGTTGACTACCTCACCTGGTACACAGGAGGTGGTGGGTTCCATGTTGAGATGTTGACTACCTCGCCTGGTACGCGGGAGGTCGTGGGTTGCATGCTGAGAAGTTGACTACCTCGCCTGGTACGGGAGATTGTGGGTTCCATGTTGAGATGTTGACAACGTCGCCTGGTACGCAGGAGGTCGTGGCTTCCATGCTGAGATGTTGACTACCTCGCCTGGTGTACAGGAGGTCGTGGGTTCCACGCTGAGACGTTGACTACCTCGCCTGATGCACAGGACATCATGGGTTCTATGCTGAGATGTTGACTACCTCGCCTGGTGTACAGGAGGTCGTGGGTTCCACGCTGAGATGTTGACTACCTCGCCTGGTGTACAGGAGGTCGTGGGTTCCATGGTGAGATGTTGAATACCTCGCCTGATACGCAGGAAGTCGTGGGTTTTATGCTGAGATGTTGACTACCTCGCCTGGTACACAGGAGGTCGTGGGTTCGACGCTGAGATGTTGACTAACTCGTCTGGTGCACAGGAGGTCGTGGGTTCCATGTTGAGATGTTGACTACCTCGCATGGTACACAGGAGGTCGTGGGTTCCACGCTGAGATGTTGACTACCTGGCCTGGTGTACAGGAGGTTGTGGGTTCCATGCTGAGATGTTGACTACCTCGCCTAGTACCCAGGAAGTCGTGGGTTCCATGCTGAGATGTTGACTACCTCGCGTGGTACACAGGAGGTCGTGGGTTCCACGCTGAGACGTTGACTACCTCGCCTGGTACCCAGGAAGTCGTGGGTTCCATGCTGAGATGTTGACTACCTCGCCTGGTGTACAGGAGGTCGTGGGTTCCATGCTGCGATGTTGACTACCTCGCCTGGTACGCAGGAGGTCGTGGGTTCCATGCTGAGACGTTGACTACCTCGCCTGGTGTACAGGAGGTCGTGGGTTCCATGCTGCGATGTTGACTACCTCGCCTGGTACGCAGGAGGTCGTGGGTTCCATGCTGAGACGTTGACTACCTCGGCTGGTACGCGGGAGGTCGTGAGTTGAATGTTGCGATGTTGACTACCTCGCCTGGTACACAGGAGGTCGTGGGTTCCATGTTGAGATGTTGACTACCTCGCCTGGTACACAGGAGGTCGTGGGTTCTATGTTGAGATGTTGACTACCTCGCCTGTTACACAGGAGGTCGTGGGTTCCATGCTGAGATGTTAACTACCTCGCATGGTGTACAGGAGGTCGTGGGTTTAATGCTGAGATGTTGACTACCTCGCCTGGTGCACAGGAGGTCGTGAGTTGGATGCTGAGACGTTGACTACCTCGCCTGGTACCCAGGAGGTCGTGGGTTCCATGCTGAAACGTTGACTACCTCGCCTGGTACACAGGAGGTCGTGGGTTCCATGCTGAGATGTTGACTACCTCGCCTGGTACACAGGAAGTCGTGGGTTCCATGTTGAGATGTTGACTACCTCGCATGGTACGCGGGAGGTCGTGGGTTCCATGCTGAGATGTTGACAACGTCGCCTGGTGTACAGGAGGTCGTGGGTCCCATGCTGAGATGTTGACTACCTCGCCTGGTACGCAGGAGGTCGTGGATTCCATGCTGAGATGTTAACTACCTCGGCTGGTGTACCGGAGGTCGTGGGTTCCACGCTGAGATGTTGACTACCTCGCCTGGTACACAGGAGGTCGTGGGTTCCACGCTGAGATGCTGACTACCTCGCCTGGTACACAGGAGGTCGTGGGTTCCATGGTGAGACGTTGACTACCTCGCCTGGTTCACAGGAGGTTGTGGGTTCCATGCTGAGATGTTAACTACCTCGCCTGGTGTACAGGAGGTCGTGAGTTTAATGCTGAGATGTTGACTACCCCGCCTGGTGTACAGGAGGTCGTGGGTTCCATGCTGAGATGTTGACTACCTCGCTTGGTGCACAGGAGGTCGTGGGTTCCATGCTGAGATGTTGACTACCTCGCCTGGTGCACAGGAGGTCATGGGTTCAATGCTGAGATGTTGACTACCTCGCCTGGTACACAGGAGGTCGTGGTTTGCATGCTGAGATGTTGACTACCTCGCCTGGTAGGCAGGAGGTTGTGGGTTCCATGCTGAGATGTTGACTACCTCGCCTGGTGCGTGGGAGGTCGTGGGTTTCACGTTGAGATGTTGACTACCTCGCCTGGTACACAGGAGGTGGTGGGTTCCATGTTGAGATGTTGACAACCTCGCCTGGTACGCAGGAGGTCGTGGATTCCATGCTGAGACGTTGACTACCTCGCCTGGTGTACAGGAGGTCGTGGGTTCCACGCTGAGATGTTGACTACCTCGCCTGGTGTACAGGAGGTCGTGGGTTCCATGGTGAGATGTTGACTACCTCGCCTGATACGCAGGAAGACGTGGGTTTTATGCTGAGATGTTGACTACCTCGCCTGGTACACAGGAGGTCGTGGGTTCGACGCTGAGATGTTGACTACCTGGCCTGGTGTACAGGAGGTCGTGGGTTCCATGCTGAGATGTTGACTACCTCGCTAGGTACGTGGGAGGTCGTGGGTTCCATGTTGAGATGTTGACTACCTCGCCAGGTACACAGGAGGTCGTGGGTTCCACGCTGAGACGTTGACTACCTCGCCTGGTACCCAGGAAGTCGTGGGTTCCATGCTGAGATGTTGACTACCTCGCCTGGTGTACAGGAGGTCGTGGGTTCCATGCTGAGATGTTGACTACCTCGCTTGGTGTACGCAGGAGGTCGTGGGTTCCATGTTGAGACGTTGACTACCTCGCCTGGTACGCGGGAGGTCGTGAGTTGAATGTTGCGATGTTGACTACCTCGCCTGGTGTACAGGAGGTCATGGGTTCTATGCTGAGATGTTGACTACCTCGCCTGGTACACAGGAGGTCGTGGGTTCCATGTTGAGATGTTGACTATCTCGCTTGGTATGCGGGAGGTCGTGGGTTCAATGCTGAGATGTTGACTACCTTGCCTGGTACGCGGGAGGTCGTGGGTTCCATGCTGAGATGTTGACTACCTCGTCTGGTGTACAGGAGGTCGTGGGTTCCATGCTGAGATGTTGACGACCTCGCCTGGTGGACAGGAGGTCGTGGGTTCAAAGCTGATATGTTGACTACCTCGCCGGGTACACAGGAGGTCGTGGGTTCCATATTGAGATGTTGACTACCTCGGCTGGTCCACAGAAGGTCGTGGGTTCAACGCTGAGATGTTGACTACCTCGCCTGGTATACAGGAGGTCTCTGTGTGTGTCTCTGTGTGCGTGTCTGTGTGTGTCTGTGTGTGTCTGTGTCTCTGTGTTTGTCTCTGTGTGTGTCTCTGTGTGTTTGTCTGTTTGTGTCTGTGTGTGTCTCTGTGTGTGTCTCTGTGTGTGTTTCTGTGTGTCTCTGTGTGTGTCTCTGTGTGTGTCTATGTGTGTGTGTCTGTGTGTGTGTGTGTGTGTCTGTGTGTGTCTGAATGGAACATCTTCGCCGGTTAGAAATATTTAGGCTGGCCTGCCAACGATCCATCCTGGGTTTAACCAGACTGGATTGTGTGAGGAGCTCACAAATCCTTGAAAGATCTGGGCAGGGTCCCATCGGTGAGCTCCTCCGGCAGGCAAGGCTGCGATGGCTGGGTCATGTAGCCCGCATGCCCAGCCACCGCATGCCAAAACAGCTTTTGTTTGGCCGGATTGAGGGGGCTAAGCGGGCACGGCACGGGCTAGAGAAGAGATGGAGTGATGTGGTACAGGAGGACGTGGAGCTGAGTGGACTTGCCGATGACTGGTACCAGTGGTGTCAAGATCGGCCTCTGTGGAGGAGGCTCGTGAAGGACGCTGCTACTGGGCAGTTGGAGGCAGTCGCCCTCCAACAACAACGGAGGGCGGAGGAGCGACGCTCACAACAACGAGCGGAGCGCCGGGTGGCTAAAGCACAGCAGGTTGGCACAGTAGGGGGCACAGGTGGTGCATCAGCCAGTCATCTCAGTCAGTCGACCCGTGGCACCTGCTGGGTCTGCCCCGTGACCTCCTGCCAGCGGGCGTTCGACACTTCACGTGGCCTCACGGTGCACATGGCCTGGCACAAGCGTCGTGGTGACGTCACCGCCACTTAGTGGCGAATGGCGGTTGTTGTTGTTGTTGTGTGCGTGTGTCTGTGTGTGTGCGTGTATCTGTGTGTGTGTGTCTGTGTGTGTGTGTCTGTGTGTGTGTCTCTGTGTGTGTGTCTGTGTGTGTGTCTGTGTGTGTGTGTCTGTGTGTGTCTGTGTGTGTATGTATGTGTGTGTGTATGTGTCTGTGTGTGTGTATCTGTGTGTGTGTGTCTGTGTGTGTGTATCTGTGTGTGTGTGTGTCTGTGTGTGTGTGTCTGTGTGTGTGTGTCTGTGTGTGTGTGTGTCTGTGTGTGTGTGTGTCTGTGTGTATGTGTGTGTGTGTGTCTGTGTGTGTGTGTCTGTGTGTGTGTGTCTGTGTGTGTGTCTGTGTGTGTGTCTGTGTGTGTGCGTGTGAGTACCGCGATGAGTCCGCGTGCCCAGCTTCTCAGGTTGTCTTCGTCTTCGTCACCGAACAGGAAGAGCTTCTCGGAGGGACCCCGGCCCAGCACGTGGATCTGCATGGTGTGGGGTAGGCTGGGACACGCACACAGAGACACACACACAGAGAAACGCAGAGACACGCACACTCAGAGACACGCACACACACAGATACACACACGCAGAGACACACACTCAGAGACACGCACACACAGACACACACACAGAGACACACACACACAGAGACACACACACACACAGACACACACACAGAGACACACACACAGAGACACACACACACACAGACACACACACACACACAGACACACACACAGAGACACACACACAGAGACACACACACACACAGACACACACACAGAGACACACACATACAGAGACACACACATACAGAGACACACACAGAGACACACACACAGAGACACACAGACACACACACACATACAGAGACACACACAGAGACACACACACAGAGACACACAGACACACACACAGACACACGGGGTTCCCCGCTGGGCACGCCAGGCAGGTGGTAGTGGTAGTTGTGGTGGTGGTGGTGGTAGTTGTGGTGGTGGTGGTAGTTGTGGTGGTGGTAGTGGTAGTTGTGGTGGTGGTAGTTGTGGTAGTTGTGGTAGTGGTGGTGGTAGTTGTGGTGGTGGTGGTAGTTGTGGTGGTGGTGTTACCCGTGATGCGCTCCACTCTGCAGGAAGACACCAGCGATGTCTCTGCAGGAGATCTCCCCGCGGGGTTCCCCGCTGGGTGCTCCAGGCAGGTGGTAGCGCAGCGCTGAAGCCTGCAGCGTGCACCACCGCAACGAGAAGTCTGCAACCAACAACAACAACAATCACGACAACAACCACAACAATCACGACAACAACCACAACAACAACAATCACGACAACAACCACAACAACAACAATCACGACAACAACCACAACAACAATCACGACAACAACCACAACAACAACAACAATCACGACAACAACCACAACAACAACAACAATCACGACAACAACGACAACAACAACAACAATCACGACAACAACCACCACAACAACAACAATCACGACAACAACCACCACAACATTCACATCAACAACAATAACCACCACAACAACTACCACGACAACAACAACCACCACAACAACAACCACGACAACAACAACCACCACAACAACAACCACGACAACAACAACCACAACAACAACAATCACGACAACAACCACAACAACAACAATCACGACAACAACCACAACAACAACAATCACGACAACAACCACAACAACAATCACGACAACAACCACAACAACAATCACGACAACAACCACCGCAACATTCACATCAACAACAACGACAACAACAACCACGACAACAACATTCACATCAACAACCACCACAACAACAACCGTGACCACATCAACCACCGCAACAACCACCACAACAACCACCACAACAACAACCACCACAACAACCACCACAACAACCACGACAACAACCACGACAACAACAATCACGACAACAACAACCACGACATCAACCACCGCAACAACCGTGACCACATCAACCACCGCAACAACCACGACAACAACATTCACGACAACAACAACCACAACAACAACAATCACGACATTCACATCAACAACAACAACCACGACAACAACCACGACAACAACAATCACGACAACAACATTCACGACAACAACAACCACGACAACAACAATCACGACATTCACATCAACAACAACAACCACGACAACAACAACCACGACAACAACAATCACGACAACAACAATCACGACAACAACATTCACGACAACAACAACCACGACAACAACAATCACGACATTCACATCAACAACAACAACCACGACAACAACAACCACGACAACAACAATCACGACAACAACTACCACGACATTCACATCAACAACAACAACCACGACATTCACATCAACAACAACAACCACGACAACAACAACCACGACAACAACAATCACGACAACTACCACGACATTCACATCAACATCAACCACCGCAACAACCACGACAACAACAACCACAACAACAATCACAACAACAATCACGACAACAACAACAACCACAACAACAACCACCACGACAACAACAACAATCACAGCTGCAGCGGCTTGCAGGAGACCTGAGACGCTAACTTAGAGGCACCGCTTTCATTAATAACACGCTAAGCCAACAAGGGGCCCTTAGCCCCGCTCTCTAGGAGGCTAAGGCCTTCGGGACAAGCGTGACCTCTAGACTGGTTGTGTCAGTAAAGTCACCACCACGTAGAAGGGAAACAATAAAATAATAAAAATATTAAACAATACAATTATTATAGGAATAGGTTTTACCCTTTTAACTGGCACAAAAACCTGACACCTTTATTCAAGGCATCATGTTTGCAATAACCACAACACAAGCAGTCAAAATGCAAACAAAAAAGACAACTCTGATAATAATATTGGCACTGTCCTTGAATGTGATTGGTCCACACCCGAGACAGCTTTTCTTAGAGCCCTTAGTCTCCACTGGTGTTGGACCAGAAGACGCCATTGGTGTTGGTCCAACACCAATGGAGACTAAGGGGCTCTAAGAAAAGCCGTCTCGGGTGTGGACCAATCACATTCAAGGACAGTGCCAATATTATTATCAGAGTTGTCGTTTTTGTTTGCATTTTGACTGCTTGTGTTGTGGTTATTGCAAACATGATGCCTTGAATAAAGGTGTCAGTTTTTGTGCCAGTTAAAAGGGTAAAACCTATTCCTATATCTTGTTTCTGGCAAAGGAGGTCTCATAAAATAAAATTATTGTAAAACAATAAAATTATTATTATTATTGGTTCTTTCGGTAAAGTCACCACCACGTAGAAAGGGAAAAAATAAAATAATAAAAATATAAAACAATAAAATTATTATTCTTGGTTCTTTCGGTAAAGTCACCACCACGTAGAAGGGAAACAATAAAATCATAAAAATATGAAACAATAGAATTATTATTCTTGGTTCTTCCGGTAAAGTCACCACCACGTTAGAAGGGGAAACAAAATAATAAAAATATAAAACAATACAATTATTATTCTTGGTTCTTTCGGTAAAGTCACCACCACGTAGAAGGGAAACAATAACAACAAAATATAAAACAATACAATTATTATTCTTGGTTCTTTCGGTAAAGTCACCACCACGTGGAAGGGAAACAATAAAATAATAAAAATATAAAACAATAAAATTATCATTCTTGGTTCTTTCGGTAAAGTCACCACCACCACGTTAGAAGGGGAAACAATAACAAAAAAACAATAACAACAACAAAATATAAAATTAAATTCCCACGAGACAGAGGGAGAGAGAAAAAAAACGCCGCTTTTTTCCCAAGGAAATTGTTTTGTCACAACCAACGATGACGATTGCTCCTCGCGGTTGCGGTGTAAAACGCCGTGAGAATTGTATCGTTTCATTCTTTGTTGGGTCTTTTTTCGGTCAAAGTCACGTAGAAATAAGAAATAATAAAAAAATAAAACAACAAAAAAATCACGGCGTTTCGGCCACAACACAAGCGGGTCTTCATCAGGCGAAGGGACCGGACTGTCCAGAGGACAGCGTTGGAGTGAAGACAGTCCAGCCCAGGTCTCGTACTTTCAAGCTGCGTGGGAAGAATCAAGGTCAGCGTCTCGATGAGCTGTGGCTCCTTGTCCCGTTGTCCGTTGAAAGCTCTAACAGAGAGGTGAAACCCCTCCCCGTAGAGGTTCTCAATTCTAGATTTGAATCTTTTTACCCACGTGACTTTACCTAATGGAACCACAGAGCGTGGATCCTCGCGGTCACGATAGCTTCAAATCTAGAATTGAGAACCTCTACGGGGAGGGGTTTCACCTCTCTGTTAGAGCTTTCGGCGGACAACGGGACGAGAAGCCACAGCTCATCGAGACGCTGACCTTCCTCAAAACAGCTTAAAAGGTACGCGACCTGGGCTGGACTGTCTTCACTCCAACGCTGTCCTCTGGACAGTCCGGTCCCTTCGCCTGATGAGGGCCACTTGTGTCGTGATTTTTTGTTGTTGTATTTCTTTACCCGAGTGACTTTTTTTTTTTACCGAATAAAAACCAAAGAGCCTGGATTTTCTGTTTCGCACAGTCAACACGAAGTCACTTTGGGATGTTTTTTCTTAAATTTTGATTTAAAGCTTTCGTGACTGCAGTAATTCATATCCTTAGTTTTTTCGGTAAAGTCACGTTGAAGAGAAACAACAAAATAATATAATATATATAAAACAATAAAAAATTCTCACGACGTTTCGACCATAACTCAAACGGTCGTCTTCAGGTGTGTTGGTTCGCATAAATTTATTTTTAAACGGTGCATTTATTTATTTATAAAAAAAACGTTAGCGCCACGCGCAGCGATTTGGAAGTTTACCCAGGACTAGTCCATCTATATTCTGAAAAGAGGAGGGGGGAGACGAAATTTTTTTCATTGTTCACGCTTACAGTGGCTTTCAGACAGCATACATTATAAAAAAAAATTCGTCTCCCCCCTCCTCTTTTCAGAATATAGATGGACTAGTCCTGGGTAAACTGCCAAATCGCTGCGCGTGGCGCTAACGTTTTTAAATAAATAAATAAATGCACCGTTTAAAAATAAATTTATGCGAACCAACACACCTGAAGACGACCGTTTGAGTTATGGTCGAAACGTCGTGAGAATTGTTTTATTGTTTTATATATATTTTATTATTTTGTTGTTTCCCTTCAACGTGGTGACTTTACCGAAAAAACTAAGGATATGTTTTTTCTTGTTTGTGTTTTAGCATTTTTGTTTTTTGCTTGCTGCGGTTGCACCCGATTCAAGAGCCGGATGGCTCACAGGGGCCTATACCAGGGGTGGACACATTTTTTGACTCTCGCGGGCCACAGTGGGTTATAAAATTTGACAGAGGGGCCCGGGCCAGGAACCAGATCGATGGTCAAAGTGCGCCATCTAATGGGGAAATGGGCGCATTACAGGAGAAAGGTAAAATTTAATTTAATAATAATATTCTTAAATTTTGATTTAAAGCTTTCGTGACTGCAGTAATTCATATTCTTAGTTCTTTCGGTAAAGTCACGTTGAAGGGAAACAACAAAACAATAAAATATATACAAAACAATAAAAAATTCTCACGACGTTTGTGTTATGGTCGAAACGTCGTGAGAATTTTGTATTGTTTTGTATATATTTTATTGTTTTGTTGTTTCCCTTCAACATGACTTTACCGAAAGAACTAAGAATAATAATAATATTCTTCTTTGGTTCTTTCGGTAAAGTCACCACGTAGAATGAGTAATGAAGTAATAAATTGATGAAATAAAATAACACAATAAAATTCTCACGACGTTTCGGCCACAACACAAGTGGCCTTCTTCAGGTGAAGGCCGTGGTGACTTTACCGAAAGAACCAAAGAAGATGAATCCTTGCAGTCACGAGAGCTTCAAATCGAAAAATAATAATATTATTTTGACAAGTTCGACGGGCCGTACTTTGCTGTCCCAAACATAAACAATCTGAAAAGTGAAACCTACGAAATGAAACTGAACTCTCCCCTCGTGCGCGTTGGCGCCGCCTACAGAGCCCTGGCCGCAACTGCAGATACGTGAGGATGGGGCGGTGTGTGAACAACAACCAACACAACAACAAACACGACAACAACAACAACAACCACTACCACTACAAAAAACAAGGACTCCCCCCCTTCCCCCCCTGTGTCTCTCCCCCTGTGTCTCCCCCCGTGTCTCTCCCCCTGTGTCTCTCCCCCTGTGTCTCTCCCCCTGTGTCTCCCCCGTGTCTCCCTGTGTCTCTCCCCCCGTGTCTCCGTGTGTCTCTCCGCGTGTCTCCCCCTGTGTCTCTCCCCCCGTGTCTCCCCCCGTGTCTCTCCGCGTGTCTCCCCGTGGCTCCCTGTGTCTCCCTGTGTCTCCCCCTGTGTCTCTCCCTGTGTCTCTCCCCCTGTGTCTCTCCCCCTGTGTCTCCCTGTATCTCTCCGTGTCTCCCCCCATGTGTCTCCCCGTGTCTCCCCGTGTCTCCCCGCGTGTCTCCCTGTATCTCCCCGTGTGTCTCTGGGTGTCTCCCCGTGTCTCCCCCCGTGTCTCCCTGTGTCTCCCTGTGTCTCCCCCGCGTGTCTCCGCGTGTCTCCCTGTATCTCCCCGTCTCCCCCCGTGTCTCCCCGTCTCTCCCTGTGTGTCTCCCCCGCGTGTCTCCGCACCATCTCTGCTCTTCCGCTTGTCGATGGGTCGTGTCGAGGCCTTCGTCTTGGACAGGAACCCCTTCATGTGCACGCAGTGACGCGGTGATGGTGGGACAGGCCCGGACAAATCTACAACAACAACAACAACTCAACAACAACAACTAGTGTAGTGTATTGTGTAGTGTAACAACAACAACAACTAGTGTAGTGTAGTGTGTAGTGTAACAACAACAACAACTAGTGTAGTGTGTAGTGTAACAACAACAACTAGTGTAGTGTGTAGTGTAACATCAACAACTAGTGTAGTGTAGTGTAACAACAACAACAACTAGTGTAGTGTGTAGTGTAACATCAACAACAACAACTAGTGTAGTGTAGTGTGTAGTGTAACAACAACAATAACTAGTGTAGTGTGTAGTGTAACAACAACAACAACTAGTGTAGTGTAGTGTGTAGTGTAACAACAACAACTAGTGTAGTGTGTAGTGTAACAACAACAACAACAACAACTAGTGTAGTGTAGTGTGTAGTGTAACAACAACAACTAGTGTAGTGTAGTGTGTAGTGTAACAACAACAACTAGTGTAGTGTAGTGTGTAGTGTAACAACAACAACTAGTGTAGTGTAGTGTGTAGTGTAACAACAACAACTAGTGTAGTGTGTAGTGTAACAACAACAACTAGTGTAGTGTAGTGTGTAGTGTAACAACAACAACTAGTGTAGTGTGTAGTGTAACAACAACAACAACTAGTGTAGTGTAGTGTGTAGTGTAACAACAACAACTAGTGTAGTGTGTAGTATAACAACAACAACTAGTGTAGTGTAGTGTGTAGTGTAACAACAACAACAACTAGTGTAGTGTGTAGTGTAACAACAACTACTACAACTAGTGTAGTGTAGTGTGTAGTGTAACAACAACAACAACAACTAGTGTAGTGTAGTGTGTAGTGTAACATCAACAACAACTAGTGTAGTGTAGTGTGTAGTGTAACAACAACAACAACTAGTGTAGTGTATAGTGTAACAACAACAACTAGTGTAGTGTAGTGTGTAGTGTAACAACGACAACAACTAGTGTAGTGTAGTGTGTAGTGTAACAACAACAACAACTAGTGTAGTGTAGTGTGTAGTGTAACAACAACTAGTGTAGTGTAGTGTGTAGTGTAACAACAACTAGTGTAGTGTAGTGTGTAGTGTAACAACAACAACGAGTGTAGTGTAGTGTGTAGTGTAACAACAACAATAACAACTAGTGTAGTGTAGTGTGTAGTGTAACAACAACAACTAGTGTAGTGTAGTGTGTAGTGTAACAACAACAATAACAACTAGTGTAGTGTAGTGTGTAGTGTAACAACAACAATAACAACTAGTGTAGTGTAGTGTGTAGTGTAACAACAACTCCTACAACTAGTGTAGTGTAGTGTGTAGTGTAACAACAACAACTAGTGTAGTGTAGTGTGTAGTGTAACAACAACAACTAGTGTAGTGTAGTGTGTAGTGTAACAACAACAACAACTAGTGTAGTGTAGTGTGTAGTGTAACAACAACAACTAGTGTAGTGTAGTGTGTAGTGTAACAACAACAACTAGTGTAGTGTAGTGTGTAGTGTAACAACAACAACTAGTGTAGTGTGTAGTGTAACAACAACAACAACTAGTGTAGTGTAGTGTGTAGTGTAACAACAACAACTAGTGTAGTGTGTAGTATAACAACAACAACTAGTGTAGTGTAGTGTGTAGTGTAACAACAACAACAACTAGTGTAGTGTAGTGTGTAGTGTAACAACAACAACAACTAGTGTAGTGTAGTGTGTAGTGTAACAACAACAACAACTAGTGTAGTGTGTAGTGTAACAACAACAACTAGTGTAGTGTAGTGTAACAACAACAACTAGTGTAGTGTAGTGTGTAGTGTAACAACAACAACAACTAGTGTAGTGTAGTGTGTAGTGTAACAACAACTAGTGTAGTGTAGTGTGTAGTGTAACAACAACTAGTGTAGTGTAGTGTGTAGTGTAACAACAACAACGAGTGTAGTGTAGTGTGTAGTGTAACAACAACAATAACAACTAGTGTAGTGTAGTGTGTAGTGTAACAACAACAACTAGTGTAGTGTGTAGTGTAACAACAACAATAACAACTAGTGTAGTGTAGTGTGTAGTGTAACAACAACAATAACAACTAGTGTAGTGTAGTGTGTAGTGTAACAACAACTCCTACAACTAGTGTAGTGTAGTGTGTAGTGTAACAACAACAACTAGTGTAGTGTAGTGTGTAGTGTAACAACAACAACTAGTGTAGTGTAGTGTGTAGTGTAACAACAACAACTAGTGTAGTGTAGTGTGTAGTGTAACAACAACAACTAGTGTAGTGTAGTGTGTAGTGTAACAACAACAACTAGTGTAGTGTAGTGTGTAGTGTAACAACAACAACTAGTGTAGTGTGTAGTGTAACAACAACAACAACTAGTGTAGTGTAGTGTGTAGTGTAACAACAACAACTAGTGTAGTGTGTAGTATAACAACAACAACTAGTGTAGTGTAGTGTGTAGTGTAACAACAACAACAACTAGTGTAGTGTAGTGTAACAACAACAACTAGTGTAGTGTAGTGTAACAACAACAACTAGTGTAGTGTAGTGTAACAACAACAACTAGTGTAGTGTAGTGTGTAGTGTAACAACAACTAGTGTAGTGTGTAGTGTAACAACAACAACAACTAGTGTAGTGTAGTGTAACAACAACTAGTGTAGTGTAGTGTGTAGTGTAACAACAACAACAACTAGTGTAGTGTGTAGTGTAACAACAACAACAACTAGTGTAGTGTGTAGTGTAACAACAACAACTAGTGTAGTGTAGTGTGTAGTATAACAACAACTAGTGTAGTGTGTAGTGTAACAACAACAACTAGTGTAGTGTGTAGTGTAACAACAACAACTAGTGTAGTGTAGTGTGTAGTGTAACAACAACAACAACTAGTGTAGTGAATCAACAACAACAACAACTAGTGTAGTGTAGTGTGTAGTGTAACAACAACAACTAGTGTAGTGTAGTGTGTAGTGTAACAACAACAACAACTAGTGTAGTGTAGTGTATAGTGTAACAACAACAACAACTAGTGTAGTGCATAGTGTAGTGTATAGTGTAGTGTGTAGTGTATAGTGTAGTGTGTAGTAGTGTAGTGTGTAGTGTATAGTGTAGTGTAGAGTGCTGTGTATAGTGTAGTGTATAGTGTAGTGTGTAGTAGTGTAGTGTATAGTGTAGTGTATAGTGTATAGTAGTGTAGTGTATAGTGTAGTGTATAGTGTACTGTATAGTGTATTGTATAGTGTAGTGTATAGTGTAGTGTATAGTGGTGTAGTGTATTGTAGTGTATAGTGTATAGTATAGTGTATAGTGTAGTGTATAGTAGTGTATAGTGTATAGTAGTGTGGTGTATAGTGTAGTGTATAGTGTAGTGTATAGTGTAGTTTATAGTGTAGTGTATAGTGTAGTGTATAGTGGTGTAGTGTATAGTAGTGTAGTGTACAGTGTAGTGTATAATGTAGTGTAGTAGTGTATAGTGTAGTGTATAGTGTATAGTAGTGTAGTGTATAGTGTAGTGTACAGAGTCCCGCCACCTGTGTTGATGTTCTGGCTGATTAACTCTGCCTGGGCCCTCTGGCCGCCCCTGAGGGCTGCTGCGTACGCCGCTGCGGTGGCCTCGGCGCCGCTGAACAGCAGCGTCAGCGTCTCCAGCACGTCGGTCCGCTGCACAGCCTCCAGCAGGGCCTTGCGGTTTGTGGCGAGCACGCAAACGGAAGAACCGAAACCACCAATTGTCAGCGGCCGGGGAAACTTAGCGCTGCCGAGGGCCATTTGGATAATTAACAAAACGTCACGTATGTAAAAAAATAAATAAAACAACAACAAAAAAATCACGGCGTTTCACCTTTAGTTTTGCTACAACCCCAGATTGATTATTACAAAAAAATGTCGGCAGAGTTATTCTTTTATAGATTTGAAGCTTTCGTGACTTCAAGGATCCACGCTCTTTGGTTCCATTCGGTAAAGTCACGTGGGTAAAAAAAAATAAAACAACAAAGAATCATGACGCTTCGGCCACAACACAAGTGGCCTTCATCAGGTGAAGGGACCGGACTGTCCAGAGGACAGCGTCGGAGTGAAGACAGCCAAGCGCAGGTCGCCTCCTTTTAAGCCGTGAGGGGGTAAACAGAAAAAAAAAACGCCTTGACAAAGGAATTAGCATAAAATGTACTACTGTGAAAGCTTGGTATTAGCATAAAATGACATTACACCACCGTGAGAGTTTGGGATGCCACTGCTTGAATAAATATACTGTACCATTGAAAATTAGTTTAATGTTTGGTTCGATTTAGAACATCTTTCCAATGGTTGCTCAATTTGAAACCGTCTTCTCGGTTGAAATTGCACCTGTGTTTGTAGATCTGAATTGCCTCGTGAACAAATCTCTGATGACAACCCGTGGGTTTGCAGAGGACCTTGGTATCGGAGAAAATGATATCGTGATCACCCACAGCGTTGTAACAGTGATCAGCCACGGCAGAAGAATTCGTTCTGCCGTGTTTCAAATCTGACTTGTGCTCGCGAATTCGGTCAGAGACATGTCGCTTTCTCTCACCAATATAGCAATCACCGCAGGTACAACTCAATTTGTAAACCCCGGGGTACTGTAAGTCAGGAACGACATCCTTCACGGAAGGGATCAGGTCACGGATTTTGTGTACTGTATTGAACCGGACCAGGATCTTGTGTTTGTTTAGAATTTTGGAGATTTTTTTAGTAACGCCTGCTATATATGGTAGTGTGATGGTTTTGATCGGAGTATCAAGTGGTTGTTTCTGTATGGAGGGAGAAACAGCTTGGCGGATGGTACGGTCAGAGTATCCATTCCTTTTGAGGGCCAGATGTACATGTTTTAATTCACTGGTCAAGTGGTGTTGGTCCGAAATGCAATGAGCCCCGTGGTATAACGTTTTGATGAGAGAATGATTTTGCGTCGGGTGGTGGTGGGAATCAGGTTTCAAGTAGGAATCTGTGTGGGTGGGTTTCCTATAGACAGAATGTCCCAAAGAGCCATCAGGTCTCCTCTCAAACAGAACATCCAAGAATGGCAGCTTGCCATCTTTCTCCACTTCCATGGTGAATTTGATGGCGGGGTGTCTGGAATTAATGTGGTCTAGGAAAAGGTTCAAAGCCGGGGGGCCATGTGGCCAAATGACGAAAGTGTCGTCTAAAAATCTCTTCCACAGGGAAGGTCTGGGGGTGGAAGTCTGGATGGCGTCTGATTCAAATTTCTCCATGAAAACGTTGGCTATCACTGGTGACAAGGGAGAACCCATGGGGGTACCCTCATTTTGTTTGTAGAAGGAGCCATTCCAAGCAAAGTAGGTGTTGTTGAGGCAGTGCCTAACCAGCGCAGGTGTATCAGGGTCTAGTCCATGTTGGACCAAATTTTCAATTATTTCAATGGTATCAGGTACCGGGACCTTGGTGAACGGAGAGACCACATCGGAGCTGACAAGGATATCGTCAGGGGACACAATACAACGTCTTTGACCATAGAGACCAAATTGGGCTGAGTTAAGTACTGCTGAGGCGGTCTTGCCAGTGAAAGGCAGCAAGGTATCTGACAGAAAACGTGCTAGCTTATAGGTAGGGGAGTTGATCGTGGATACGATCGGTCGTAGTGGGGTGCCTTCCCTATGAATCTTGGGAAGACCATAGAATCTAGGGGGGGTCTTACAGCAGAAGGTTTTAGGGAGGGACGTTTAGTTGGTTTCGATTAGGGAGGTCGAACTTGTGATGATCTTGTTGGTTTTTATCGTTAGGCTATTGGTAGGGTCATTTTTTTAAATTTCTGAGTAACTTCCATCGTTGAGCAGGTTCTGGATTTTGCCGTTGTACGAATCTTTATCCATAATTACAGTGGCGTTGCCTTTGTCGGCTGAGAGGATGACTATATCATTTCTGTTTTTTTTTTAATTCGCGAGTTCAGAGCGTTCATTTTTTGCCGATGTTGCTAACGGGTTTCTTAGCACTCTTAAGAATAGCGGCTATTTCAGCTCTCGCAACGCCTGCTTGGATGTGTCCTACGCCTTTGAGGGCGTAGGACACATCCAATGCGGATGTGGAGCGGTCGTGCGTGGCGTGAGAGAGGGAGTGGTGACGTCAGAGGAGGGGGCGGGGCTTGAGAGAGGGAGCGGTGATGTCAGCGGATGGGGCGGGGCTTGAGAGGGAGGGGGGAGCAGTGACGTCAGAGGAGGGGGCGGGGCTTAAGAGAGAGGGAGGGAGCGATGACGTCAGGATGGGGCGGGGCTTCCCGGTGGGATGCGGAGCGGTCGCGTGCGGCGCGAGAGAGAGAGGGGGAGAGGGAGCAGTGACGTCGGCGGATGGGGCGGGGCTTGAGAGGGAGGGAGAGGTGACGTCAGAGGATGGGGGCGGGGCTTGGGAGAGAGGGAGCGGTGACGTCAGAGGACGGGGGCGGGGCTTGAGAGAGAGAGCGGTGACCTCAGCGGATGGGGCGGGGCTTGAGAGGGAGGGAGCAGTGACATCAGCGGATGGGGGCGGGGCTAGAGAGAGAAATGGAGCGGTGACGTCAGTGGACGGGGGCGGGGCTTGAGAGGAGAGGGAGAGAGGGAGTAGTGATGTCAGCGGATGGAGCGGGGCTTGAGAGAGAGAGAGGGAGGGAGCGGTGACGTCAGAGGAGGGGGCGGGGCTTGAGGGAGAGGGAGGGAGCGGTGACGTCAGAGGATGGGGCGGGGCTTGAGAGAGAGGGAGGGAGGGAGCGGTGAAGGCAGAGGATGGGGGCAGGGCTTGAGAGAGAGAGGGAGCGGTGACGTCAGAGGATGGGGTGGGGCTTGAGAGGGAGGGAGGGAGCAGTGACGTCAGAGGATGGGGGCGGGGCTTGAGAGAGCGAGGGAGCGGTGAGGTCAGCGGACGGGGGCGGGGCTTCCCGGCGTGAATCGTCAGCGTTGAGGCCCCGCCCGCCCACCCGCCCGCCGATCTCACCTCCTGCAGCTCTTGCCTTGAGCCGTAGAGGCGGTGGACCTTGCGGTACTTCCCCTCCACGTACTTGGCGCGGACAAAGTCGGCGCGGTCGGCCGCGGTGGGGGCGACGCCGCGGCCCCCGAGGCCCTCGCCGCCCAGGGCCTCGCTCGGAGGGACGAGGGCGGCCCAGAACGAGTTGGAGCGCTCGTTGCCCAGGGCGAGGAGCATCTGGGGAGGCGGGCGGCGGCGTCATGATCATTGTCATCGTCGTCATCGTCATCATCGTCGTCATCGTCGTCGTCAGCAGCAGCGGCGTCGTCGTCATCATCGTCATCATGGTCATGATCATCGTCATCATCGTCATCATGGTCATGATCATCGTCATCATCGTCATCGTCATGGTCATCATCGCCGTCATCATCATCATCGTTGTCATTGGGTGATGAGTCACGTGATGAGTCACGTGATGAGTCGGGTAACTCATCACGTGACGAGTCGGGTGACGAGTCACGGGATGAGTCACGTGATGAGTCGGGTGACGAGTCACGTGACGAGTCGGGTGACGAGTCACGTGACGAGTCGGGTGACGAGTCACGTGACTCATCACGTGACTCATCACGTGATGAGTCACGTGATGAGTCACGTGATGAATCGGGTGACGAGTCACGTGACGAGTCGGGTGACGAGTCACATGACGAGTCGGGTGACTCATGACGTGATGAGTCACGTGATGAGTCACGTGACGAGTCGGGTGACGAGTCACGTGACGAGTCGGGTGACGAGTCACGTGACGAGTCACGTGACGAGTCACATGACGAGGCGTGTGACGAGTCACGTGACGAGTCGGGTGACGAGTCACGTGCTGAGTCACGTGATGAGTCGGGTGACGAGTCACGTGACGAGTCACATGACGAGGCGTGTGACGAGTCACGTGACGAGTCACATGACGAGGCGTGTGACGAGTCACGTGACGAGTCGGGTGACGAGTCATGTGACGAGTCACGTGATGAGTCACGTGACGAATCACGTGATGAGTCACGTGACGAGTCGGGTGCCGAGTTACCTGCACGACATCCACTGTCCACGCCGTTTGATCTATGGTGAGGCTGCGAATGCGCGAGGCGTTTTGACCCAGCGACCTGTGGGCACCTGGAGGCAAACGCAGAGTCGGTGTCAGTGCGGTGTAGGTGGTGGTGTAGGTGGTGGTGTAGGTGGTGGTGTAGGTGGTGGTGTAGGTGGTGGTGTAGTTGGTGTAGGTGGTGGTGTAGTTGGTGGTGTAGGTGGGGGTGTAGGTGGTGGTGTAGTTGGTGTAGGTGGTGGTGTAGGTGGTGGTGTAGGTGGTGGTGTAGGTGGTGGTGTAGTTGGTGTAGGTAATGGTGTAGGTGGTGGTGTAGGTGGTGTAGGTGGTGGTGTAGGTGGTGATGTAGGTGGTGGTGTAGGTGGTGGTGTAGGTGGTGGTGTAGGTGGTGTAGGTTGTGGTGTAGGTGGTGGTGTAGGTGCGGTGTAGATGGTGGTGTAGGTGGTGTAGGTGGTGGTGTAGGTGCGGTGTAGGTGGTGGTGTAGGTGGTGGTGTAGGTGGTGGTGTAGGTGCGGTGTAGGTGGTGGTGTATGTGGTGTAGGTGGTGGTGTAGTTGGTGTAGGTGGTGGTGTAGGTGGTGTAGGTGGGGGTGTAGGTGGTGGTGTAGGTGGTGGTGTAGGTGGTGGTGTAGGTGGTGTAGGTGGTGGTGTAGGTGGTGGAGTAGGTGGTGGTGTAGGTGGTGCAGGTGGTGGTGTAGGTGGTGGAGTATGTGGTGGTGTAGGTGGTGGTGTAGGTGGTGGTGTAGGTGGTGGTGTAGGTGGTGTAGGTGGTGTAGGTGGTGTAGGTGGTGGTGTATGTGGTGGTGTAGTTGGTGTAGGTAATGGTGTAGGTGGTGGTGCAGGTGGTGGTGTAGGTGGTGGTGTAGGTGGTGGTGTAGGTGGTGTAGGTGGTGTAGGTGGCGTTGATGTAGGTGGTGTAGGTGGTGGTGTAGGTGGTGGTGTAGGTGGTGGTGTAGTTGGTGGTGTAGGTGGTGTAGGTGGTGTAGGTGGTGGTGTAGATGGTGGTGTAGGTGGTGTAGGTGGTGTAGGTGGTGGTGTAGGTGGTGGTGTAGGTGGTGTAGGTGGTGGTGTAGGTGGTGGTGTAGGTGGTGGTGTAGGTGGTGGTGTAGGTGGTGGTGTAGGTGGTGGTGGAGGTGGTGTAGGTGGTGGTGTAGGTGGTGGTGTAGGTGCGGTGTAGGTGGTGGTGTAGGTGGTGGTGTAGGTGGTGGTGTAGGTGATGTAGGTAGTGGTGTAGTTGGTGTATGTGGTGGTGTAGGTGGTGGAGTAGGTGGTGGTGTAAGTGGTGGTGGAGGTGGTGGTGTAGGTGGTGGTGTACGTGGTGGTGTAGGTGGTGGTGTAGGTGGTGATGTAGGTGGTGGTGTAGGTGGTGGTGTAGGTGGTGTAGGTGGTGATGTAGGTGGTGATGTAGGTGGTGGTGTAGGTGGTGGTGTAGGTGGTGGGGTAGGTGGTGGTGTAGGTGGTGGTGTAGGTGGTGGTGTAGTTGGTGTAGGTGGTGGTGTAGGTAGTGGTGTAGGTGGGGGTGTAGGTGGTGGTGTAGGTGGTGGTGTAGTTGGTGTAGGTAATGGTGTAGGTGGTGGTGTAGGTGGTGGTGTAGGTGGTGTAGGTGGTGGTGTAGGTGGTGATGTAGGTGGTGGTGTAGGTGGTGGTGTAGGTGGTGGGGTAGGTGGTGTAGGTGGTGGTGTAGGTGCGGTGTAGGTGGTGGTGTAGGTGGTGTAGGTGGTGGTGTAGGTGCGTGTAGGTGGTGGTGTAGGTGCGGTGTAGGTGGTGGTGTAGGTGGTGGTGTAGGTGGTGGTGTAGGTGCGGTGTAGGTGGTGGTGTAGGTGGTGTAGGTGGTGGTGTAGTTGGTGTAGGTGGGGGTGTAGGTGGTGGTGTAGGTGGTGGTGTAGGTGGTGGTGTAGGTGGTGTAGGTGGTGGAGTAGGTGGTGGAGTAGGTGGTGGTGTAGGTGGTGGTGGTGTATGTGGTGGTGTAGGTGGTGGTGTAGGTGGTGGTGTAGGTGGTGGTGTAGGTGGCGTTGATGTAGGTGGTGGTGTAGGTGGTGGTGTAGTTGGCGGTGTAGGTGGTGTAGGTGGTGGTGTAGGTGGTGGTGTAGGTGGTGTAGGTGGTGGTGTAGGTGGTGGTGTAGGTGGTGGTGTAGGTGGTGTAGGTGGTGATGTAGGTGGTGGTGTAGGTGGTGGTGTAGGTGGTGGTGTCGGTGGTGGTGTAGGTGGTGTAGGTGGTGGTGTAGTTGGTGTAGGTAATGGTGTAGGTGGTGGTGTAGGTGGTGTAGGTGGTGGTGTAGGTGGTGATGTAGGTGGTGCTGTAGGTGGTGGTGTAGGTGGTGGTGTAGGTGGTGTAGGTGGTGGTGTAGGTGGTTGGGTAGGTGCGGTGTAGGTGTTGGTGTAGGTGGTGTAGGTGGTGGTGTAGGTGCGGTGTAGGTGGTGGTGTAGGTGTGGTGTAGGTGGTGGTGTAGGTGGTGGTGGAGGTGGTGGTGTAGGTGCGGTGTAGGTGGTGGTGTAGGTGGTGGTGTAGTTGGTGTAGGAGGTGGTGTAGGTGGTGGTGTAGGTGGTGGTGTAGGTGGTGGTGTAGGTGGTGTAGGTGGTGTAGGTGGTGGTGTAGGTGGTGGAGTAGGTGGTGGTGTAGGTGGTGATGTAGGTGGTGGTGTAGGTGGTGGTGTAGGTGTTGGTGTTGGTGTAGGTGATGGTGTAGGTGGTATAGGTGTAGGTGATGGTGTAGGTGTTGGTGTAGGTGTAGGTGGTGTAGGTGTTTGTGTAGGTGATGATGTTGGTGTAGGTGATGGTGTTGGTGTTAGTGTAGGTGTAGGTGTTGGTGTAGGTGATGGTGTAGGTGGTGGTGTTAGTGTTGGTGTAGGTGTTGGTGGTTTAGGTGAAGGTGATGGTGTTGGTGTAGGTGGTGGTGTAGGTGTTGGTGGTGTAGGTGGTGGTGTAGGTGTTGGTGGTGTCAGTGTTGGTGTAGGTGGTTTAGGTGATGGTGATGGTGTAGGTGTAGGTGGTAGTGTAGGTGTTGGTGGTGTAGGTGTTGGTGTTAGTGGTGGTGTAGGTGTTGGTGTAGGTGGTGGTGTAGCTGTTGGTGGTGTAGGTGGTGGTGTAGGTGTTGGTGGTGTAGGTGGTGGTGTAGGTGTTGGTGGTGTCAGTGTTGGTGTAGGTGTTGGTGGTTTAGGTGATGGTGTTGGTGTAGGTGTAGGTGGTGGAAGTGTTGGTGTAGGTGGTGGTGTAGGTGTTGGTGTAGGTGATGGTGATGGTGTTGGTGTAGGTGTAGGTGATGGTGTAGGTGTTGGTGTTGGTGTTGGTGGTGAAGGTGTAGGTGATGCTGTAGGTGGTGTAGGTGTTGGTGTTGTTGTAGGTGTTGGTGTAGGTGATGGTGTAGGTGTTAGTGTAGGTGTAGGTGTTGGTGTAGGTGATGGTGTAGGTGGTGGTGTTAGTGTTGGTGTAGGTGTTGGTGTAGGTGTTGGTGGTTTAGGTGAAGGTGATGGTGTTGGTGTAGGTGGTGGTGTAGGTGTTGGTGGTGTAGGTGGTGGTGTAGGTGTTGGTGGTGTCAGTGTTGGTGTAGGTGGTTTAGGTGATGGTGATGGTGTAGGTGTAGGTGGTGGTGTAGGTGTTGGTGGTGTAGGTGTTGGTGTTAGTGGTGGTGTAGGTGTTGGTGTAGGTGGTGGTGTAGCTGTTGGTGGTGTAGGTGGTGGTGTAGGTGTTGGTGGTGTAGGTGGTGGTGTAGGTGTTGGTGGTGTCAGTGTTGGTGTAGGTGTTGGTGGTTTAGGTGATGGTGTAGGTGTAGTTGGTGGAAGTGTTGGTGTAGGTGGTGGTGTAGGTGTTGGTGTAGGTGATGGTGTTGGTGTAGGTGTAGGTGATGGTGTAGGTGTTGGTGATGGTGTTGGTGGTGAAGGTGTAGGTGATGCTGTAGGTGTAGGTGGTGTAGGTGTTGGTGTTGTTGTAGGTGTTGGTGTAGGTGATGGTGTAGGTGTTGGTGTAGCTGTAGGTGTTGATGTAGGTGTAGTTGGTGTAGGTGATGGTGTAGGTGTAGTTGGTGTAGGTGATGGTGTAGGTGGTGTTGGTGTAGCTGTAGCTGTAGTTGTCTACGCAAGTCCGAGGCTCCCCGCCACCACACCCCACTGCCCGCCCTACCGGCGCACTGCGTGCACACGACCACGGCCAGGTTGAGTGAGGCCCAGGCCGGCCCCGGCGCTCCGCAGTCTGCACAGGACTCGTTCCCCGGCACCGCCGACAGCCGCTCCAGGAGCTCCGGGTCTCCGAGGGCCTCCTCCTGAGCCTCCCGGAGGCTCGCGAGCCACGAGTCGCGCTCCGACTCGGAGTCGGTGGAGAACCTTGGGGCGAGGGGGGGGGGGGCGATGTAGCGGTGTGTGTGTGGTGTAGCGGTGTGTGTGTGTGGTGTAGCGGTGTGTGTGTGGTGTAGCTGTGTGTGTGGTGTAGCTGTGTGTGTGTGGTGTAGCGGTGTGTGTGTAGTGTAGCTGTGTGTGTGTGGGTGTAGCTGTGTGTGTGTGGTGTAGCTGTGTGTGTGTGTGGTGTAGCTGTGTGTGTGTGTGGTGTAGCTGTGTGTGTGTGGGTGTAGCGGTGTGTGTGGTGTAGCTGTGTGTGTGTGGTGTAGCGGTGTGTGTGTGTGGTGTAGGTGTGTGTGTGTAGCGGTGTGTGTGTGGTGTAGCGGTGTGTGTGTGTGTAGCTTTGTGTGTGTGGTGTAGCGGTGTGTGTGTGGTGTAGTGGTGTGTGTGTGGTGTAGCTGTGTGTGTGTGGGTGTAGCGGTGTGTGTGTGGGTGTAGCGGTGTATGTGTGGGTGTAGCTGTGTGTGTGTGGGTGTAGCGGTGTGTGTGTGGTGTAGCTGTGTGTGTGTGGGTGTAGCTGTGTGTGTGTGGTGTAGCTGTGTGTGTGTGTGGGTGTAGCGGTGTGTGTGTGGGTGGTGTAGCTGTGTGTGTGTGGTGTAGCGGTGTGTGTGTGGGTGTAGCGGTGTGTGTGTGGTGTAGCGGTGTGTATGTGTGTGGTGTAGGTGTGTGTGTGTGGTTTAGCGGTGTGTGTGTGTAGCTTTGTGTGTGTGGTATAGCGGTGTGTGTGTGTGTGGTGTAGCGGTGTGTGTGGTGTAGCGGTGTGTGTGTGTGGTGTAGCTGTGTGTGTGGTGTAGCGGTGTGTGTGTGGGTGTAGCGGTGTGTGTGTGGGTGTAGCTGTGTGTCTGTGGGTGTAGCGGTGTGTGTGTGGGTGTAGCGGTGTGTATGTAGTGTAGCTGTGTGTGTGTGGGTGTAGCGGTGTGTGTGTGGGTGTAGCTGTGTGTCTGTGGGTGTAGCTGTGTGTGTGTGGGTGTAGCGGGTGTGTGTGGGTGTAGCTGTGTGTGTGTGGGTGTAGCGGTGTGTGTGTTGTATAGCTGTGTGTGTGTGGTGTAGCTGTGTGTGTGCGGTAGCTGTGTGTGTGTGGTGTAGCTGTGTGTATGTGGGTGTAGCGGTGTGTGTGGTGTAGCTGTGTGTGGTGTAGCGGTGTGTGTGTGGTGTAGCTGTGTGTGTGTAGTGTAGCGGTGTGTGTGTGGGTGTAGCGGTGTGTGTGTGGGTGTAGCTGTGTGTGTGGTGTAGCGGTGTGTGTGTGGGTGTAGCGTTGTGTGTGTGGTGTAGCTGGGTGTGTGTGTGTGGTGTAGCAGTGTGTGTGTGGTGTAGCTGTGTGTGTGTGGTGTAGCGGTGTGTGTGGTGTAGCTGTGTGTGTGTGGTGTAGCTGTGTGTGTGTGGTGTAGCGGTGTGTGTGTGGTGTAGCTATGTGTGTGTGTAGCTGTGTGTGTGTGGTGTAGCTGTGTGTGTGTGGTGTAGCTGTGTAGGTGTAGCGGTGTGTGTGGTGTAGCGGTGTATGTGGTGTAGCTGTGTGTGGTGTAGCGGTGTGTGTGTGGTGTAGCTGTGTGTGTGTAGTGTAGCGGTGTGTGTGTGGGTGTAGCGGTGTGTGTGTGGTGTAGCGGTGTGTGTGGTGTAGCGGTGTGTGTGGTGTAGCTTGTGTGGTGTAGCTGTGTGTGTGTGGTGTAGCTGTGTGTGTGTGGGTGTAGCGGTGTGTGTGTGGGTGTAGCTGTGTGTCTGTGGGTGTAGCTGTGTGTGTGTGGGTGTAGCGGGTGTGTGTGGGTGTAGCTGTGTGTGTGTGGGTGTAGCGGTGTGTGTGTGGTATAGCTGTGTGTGTGTGGTGTAGCTGTGTGTGTGTGGTAGCTGTGTGTGTGTGGTGTAGCTGTGTGTATGTGGGTGTAGCGGTGTGTGTGGTGTAGCTGTGTGTGGTGTAGCGGTGTGTGTGTGGTGTAGCTGTGTGTGTGTAGTGTAGCGGTGTGTGTGTGGGTGTAGCGGTGTGTGTGTGGGTGTAGCTGTGTGTGTGGTGTAGCGGTGTGTGTGTGGGTGTAGCGTTGTGTGTGTGGTGTAGCTGGGTGTGTGTGTGTGTGGTGTAGCAGTGTGTGTGTGGTGTAGCTGTGTGTGTGTGTGGTGTAGCGGTGTGTGTGGTGTAGCTGTGTGTGTGTGGTGTAGCTGTGTGTGTGTGGTGTAGCGGTGTGTGTGTGGTGTAGCTATGTGTGTGTGTAGCTGTGTGTGTGTGGTGTAGCTGTGTGTGTGTGGTGTAGCTGTGTGGGTGTAGCTGTGTGTGTGGTGTAGCAGTGTGTGTGGTGTAGCTGTGTGTGGTGTAGCGGTGTGTGTGTGGTGTAGCTGTGTGTGTGTAGTGTAGCGGTGTGTGTGTGGGTGTAGCGGTGTGTGTGGTGTAGCTGTGTGTGTGTGGTGTAGCTGTGTGTGTGTGGTGTAGCTGTGTGTGTGTGGTGTAGCTGTGTGTGTGTGGTGTAGCTGTGTGTGTGTGGTGTAGCTGTGTGTGTGTGGTGTAGCGGTGTGTGTGTGTGGTGTAGCAGTGTGTGTGGTGTAGCTCTGTGTGTGGTGTAGCGGTGTGTGTGTGGTGTAGCTGTGTGTGTGGTGTAGCTGTGTGTGGTGTAGCTGTGTGTGTGGTGTAGCGGTGTGTGGTGTAGCTGTGTGTGTGTGGTGTAGCGGTGTGTGTGTGGGTGTAGCGGTGTGTGTGTGGTGTAGCGGTGTGTGTGTGTGTGGTGTAGGTGTGTGTGTGTGGTTTAGCGGTGTGTGTGTGTAGCTTTGTGTGTGTGGTATAGCGGTGTGTGTGTGTGTGGTGTAGCGGTGTGTGTGGTGTAGCGGTGTGTGTGTGTGGTGTAGCTGTGTGTGTGGTGTAGCGGTGTGTGTGTGGGTGTAGCGGTGTGTGTGTGGGTGTAGCTGTGTGTCTGTGGGTGTAGCGGTGTGTGTGTGGGTGTAGCGGTGTGTATGTAGTGTAGCTGTGTGTGTGTGGGTGTAGCGGTGTGTGTGTGGGTGTAGCTGTGTGTCTGTGGGTGTAGCTGTGTGTGTGTGGGTGTAGCGGGTGTGTGTGGGTGTAGCTGTGTGTGTGTGGGTGTAGCGGTGTGTGTGTGGTATAGCTGTGTGTGTGTGGTGTAGCTGTGTGTGTGCGGTAGCTGTGTGTGTGTGGTGTAGCTGTGTGTATGTGGGTGTAGCGGTGTGTGTGGTGTAGCTGTGTGTGGTGTAGCGGTGTGTGTGTGGTGTAGCTGTGTGTGTGTTGTGTAGCGGTGTGTGTGTGGGTGTAGCGGTGTGTGTGTGGGTGTAGCTGTGTGTGTGGTGTAGCGGTGTGTGTGTGGGTGTAGCGTTGTGTGTGTGGTGTAGCTGGGTGTGTGTGTGTGGTGTAGCAGTGTGTGTGTGGTGTAGCAGTGTGTGTGTGGTGTAGCTGTGTGTGTGTGGTGTAGCGGTGTGTGTGGTGTAGCTGTGTGTGTGTGGTGTAGCTGTGTGTGTGTGGTGTAGCGGTGTGTGTGTGGTGTAGCTATGTGTGTGTGTAGCTGTGTGTGTGTGGTGTAGCTGTGTGTGTGTGGTGTAGCTGTGTAGGTGTAGCAGTGTGTGTGGTGTAGCGGTGTGTGTGGTGTAGCTGTGTGTGGTGTAGCGGTGTGTGTGTGGTGTAGCTGTGTGTGTGTAGTGTAGCGGTGTGTGTGTGGGTGTAGCGGTGTGTGTGTGGTGTAGCGGTGTGTGTGGTGTAGCGGTGTGTGTGGTGTAGCTTGTGTGGTGTAGCTGTGTGTGTGTGGTGTAGCTGTGTGTGTGTGGGTGTAGCGGTGTGTGTGTGGGTGTAGCTGTGTGTCTGTGGGTGTAGCTGTGTGTGTGTGGGTGTAGCGGGTGTGTGTGGGTGTAGCTGTGTGTGTGTGGGTGTAGCGGTGTGTGTGTGGTATAGCTGTGTGTGTGTGGTGTAGCTGTGTGTGTGTGGTAGCTGTGTGTGTGTGGTGTAGCTGTGTGTATGTGGGTGTAGCGGTGTGTGTGGTGTAGCTGTGTGTGGTGTAGCGGTGTGTGTGTGGTGTAGCTGTGTGTGTGTAGTGTAGCGGTGTGTGTGTGGGTGTAGCGGTGTGTGTGTGGGTGTAGCTGTGTGTGTGGTGTAGCGGTGTGTGTGTGGGTGTAGCGTTGTGTGTGTGGTGTAGCTGGGTGTGTGTGTGTGGTGTAGCAGTGTGTGTGTGGTGTAGCTGTGTGTGTGTGGTGTAGCGGTGTGTGTGGTGTAGCTGTGTGTGTGTGGTGTAGCTGTGTGTGTGTGGTGTAGCGGTGTGTGTGTGGTGTAGCTGTGTGTTGGTGTAGCTGTGTTGGTGTAGCTGTGTGTTGGTGTAGCTGTGTGGGTGTAGCTGTGTGTTGGTGTAGCTGTGTGTTGGTGTAGCTGTGTGTGGTGTAGCTGTGTGTTGGTGTAGCTGTGTGTGTGTAGTGTAGCGGTGTGTGTGTGGGTGTAGCGGTGTGTGTGGTGTAGCTGTGTGTGTGTGGTGTAGCTGTGTGTGTGTGGTGTAGCTGTGTGTTGGTGTAGCTGTGTTGGTGTAGCTGTGTGTGTGTGGTGTAGCTGTGTGTGTGTGGTGTAGCGGTGTGTGTGTGTGGTGTAGCAGTGTGTGTGGTGTAGCTCTGTGTGTGGTGTAGCGGTGTGTGTGTGGTGTAGCTGTGTGTTGGTGTAGCTGTGTGTTGGTGTAGCTGTGTGTTGGTGTAGCTGTGTGTTGGTGTAGCTGTGTGTTGGTGTAGCGGTGTGTTGGTGTAGCTGTGTGTGGTGTAGCTGTGTGTGGTGTAGCGGTGTGTGGTGTAGCTGTGCGTGTGGTGTAGCTGTGCGTGTGGTGTAGCTGTGTGTGTGTGTAGCTGTGTGTGGTGTAGCGGTGTGTGTGGTGTAGCGGTGTGTGTGTGTGTGTAGTGCAGTGTGTGTAGTGCAGTGTGTGTAGTGTGTGTGTCGTGTAGTGTGTGTAGTGTGTGTAGTGTAGTATTTGTAGTGTAGTGTGTGTAGTGTGTGTAGTGTAGTGTGTGTAGTATGTGTAGTGTAGTGTGTGTAGTGTGTGTAGTGTAGTGTGTGTAGTGTGTGTAGTGTAGTGTGTGTAGTGTAGTGTGTGCAGTGTGTGTAGTGTAGTGTCTGTGTAGTGTGTGTGTAGTGTAGTGTGTGTAGTGTGTGTAGTGTAGTGTGTGTAGTGTAGTGTGTGTAGTGTGTGTGGTGTGTGTAGTGTAGTGTGTGGAGTGTGTGTGTGTAGTGTGTGTGGTGTGTGTGTGTAGTGTGTGTAGTGTGTGTGTAGTGTGTGTAGTATGTGTAGTGTAGTGTGTGTAGTGTGTGTAGCGTAGCATGTGCAGTGTGTGTGTGTAGTGTGTGTAGTGTAGTGTGTGTAGTGTGTATGTGTAGTGTAGTGTGTGTAGTGTGTATGTGTAATGTGTGTAGTGTGTGTGTAGTGTGTGTAGTGTAGTGTGTGTAGTGTGTGTGTAGTGTGTGTGTAGTGTTTGTGTATTGTAGTGTGTGTAGTGTAGTATTGTAGTGTAGTGTGAGTAGTGTGTGTAGTGTAGTGTGTGTAGTATGTGTAGTGTAGTGTGTGTAGTGTATAGTGTAGTGTAGTATGTGTAGTGTAGTGTGTGTGTAGTGTATATAGTGTAGTGTGTGTGTGGTGTAGTGTGTGTAGTGTAGTGTGTGTAGTGTGTGTAGTGTGTGTGTGTGGTGTGTGTAGTGTAGTGTGTGTAGTGTATAGTGTAGTGTAGTATGTGTAGTGTAGTGTGTGTGTAGTGTATAGTGTAGTGTGTGTAGTGTGTGTGTGTGTAGTGTATAGTGTAGTGTGTGTAGTGTGTGTAGTGTGTGCGTAGTGTAGTGTATGTAGTGTAGTGTGTGTAGTGTGTGTAGTGTAGTGTGTGTAGTGTGTGTAGTTCAGTGTATAGTGTAGTGTGTGTGTAGTGTATAGTGTAGTGTAGTGTGTGTAGTGTGTGTGTGTAGTGTGTGTGTAGTGTATAGTGTAGTGTAGTATGTGTAGTGTAGTGTGTGTGTGTAGTGTATAGTGTAGTGTGTGTAGTGTAGTGTGTGTGTGTAATGTGTGTAGTGTGTATGTGTAATGTAGTGTGTGTAGTGTGTGTAGTGTGTGTAGTGTGTGTAGTGTGTGCAGTGTGTGTGTAGTGTGTGTAGTGTAGTGTGTGTAGTGTAGTGTGTGTAGTGTGTGTGTAGTGTATAGTGTGTGTGTGTAGTGTGTGTAGTGTGTGTGTGTGTAGTGTGTGTGTAGTGTAGTGTGTGTAGTGTGTGTGTGTGTAGTGTATGTGTGTAGTGTGTGTGTGTGTAGTGTGTGTGTAGTGTATAGTGTAGTATGTGTAGTGTAGTGTGTGTAGTGTGTATGTGTAATGTAGTGTGTGTAGTGTAGTGTGTGTAGTGTGTGTGTAGTGTGTGTAGTGTGTGTAGTGTGTGTGTAGTGTATAGTGTAGTGTGTGTGTGTGGTGTGTAGTGTATAGTGTAGTGTAGTATGTGTAGTGTAGTGTGTGTGTAGTGTATATTGTAGTGTGTGTGTAGTGTTTGTAGTGTAGTGTAGTGTGTGTAGTGTGTGTAGTTTAGTGTGTGTAGTGTAGTGTGTGTAGTGTGTGTAGTGTAGTGTGTAGTGTGTGTAGTTCAGTGTATAGTGAGTGTGTGTAGTGTATAGTGTAGTGTGTGTAGTGTGTGTGTGTGTGTAGTGTGTGTGTAGTGTATAGTGTAGTGTAGTATGTGTAGTGTAGTGTGTGTGTGTAGTGTATAGTGTAGTGTGTGTAGTGTAGTGTGTGTGTAGTGTGTGTAGTGTAGTGTGTGTGTAATATGTGTAGTATGTATGTGTAATGTAGTATGTGTAGTGTGTGTAGTGTGTGTGTTTGTAGTGTATAGAGTAGTGTAATGTGTGTAGTGTAGTGTGTGTAGTGTGTGTGTGTAGTGTATAGTGTGTGTGTAGTGTGTGTAGTGTGTGTGTGTAGTGTAGTGTGTGTGTAGTGTGTGTAGTGTAGTGTGTGTAGTGTGTGTGTAGTGTGTGTGTGTAGTGTGTGTGTGTAGTGTGTGTGTAGTGTATAGTGTAGTGTAGTATGTGTAGTGTAGTGTAGTGTGTGTAGTGTGTATGTGTAATGTAGTGTAGTGTGTGTGTAGTGTGTGTGTAGTGTGTGTGTAGTGTGTGTGTAGTGTAGTGTGTGTAGTGTGTGTAGTGTGTGTGTGTGTGTAGTGTATAGTGTAGTGTGTGTGTGTAGTGTGTAGTGTATAGTGTAGTGTAGTATGTGTAGTGTAGTGTGTGTGTAGTGTATATTGTAGTGTGTGTGTAGTGTTTGTAGTGTAGTGTGTGTAGTGTGTTTAGTTTAGTGTGTGTAGTGTAGTGTGTGTAGTGTGTGTAGTGTAGTGTGTGTAGTGTGTGTAGTGTATAGTGTAGTGTGTGTGTGTAGTGTGTGTAGTGTGTGTAGTGTAGTGTGTGTAGTTCAGTGTATAGTGTAGTGTGTGTGTAGTGTATAGTGTAGTGTGTGTAGTGTGTGTGTGTGTAGTGTGTGTGTGTGTGTAGTGTGTGTGTGTAGTGTATAGTGTATTGTAGTATGTGTAGTGTAGTGTGTGTGTGTAGTGTATAGTGTAGTGTGTGTAGTGTAGTGTGTGTGTGTAATGTGTGTAGTGTGTATGTGTAATGTAGTGTGTGTAGTGTGTGTAGTGTGTGTGTAGTGTGTGTAGTGTAGTGTGTGTAGTGTAGTGTGTGTAGTGTGTGTGTAGTGTATAGTGTGTGTGTGTAGTGTGTGTAGTGTGTGTGTGTGGTGTAGTGTGTGTGTAGTGTAGTGTGTGTAGTGTGTGTGTGTAGTGTGTGTGTGTGTAGTGTGTGTGTGTGTAGTGTGTGTGTGTAGTGTATAGTGTAGTATGTGTAGTGTAGTGTGTGTAGTGTGTATGTGTAATGTAGTGTGTGTAGTGTAGTGTAGTGTGTGTAGTGTGTGTGTAGTGTGTGTGTAGTGTATGTAATGTGTGTAGTGTGTGTGTAGTGTATAGTGTAGTGTGTGTAGTTTAGTGTGTGTAGTGTAGTGTGTGCAGTGTGTGTAGGGTAGTGTGTAGTGTGTGTAGTTCAGTGTATAGTGTGTGTGTAGTGTATAGTGTGTGTAGTGTGTGTGTAGTGTGTGTGTAGTGTATAGTGTAGTGTAGTATGTGTAGTGTAGTGTGTGTGTAGTGTATAGTGTAGTGTGTGTAGTGTAGTGTGTGTGTAGTGTGTGTAGTGTAGTGTGTGTGTAATATGTGTAGTATGTATGTGTAATGTAGTATGTGTAGTGTGTGTAGTGTGTGTGTTTGTAGTGTATAGAGTAGTGTAGTGTGTGTAGTGTAGTGTGTTTAGTGTGTGTGTGTAGTGTATAGTGTGTGTGTAGTGTGTGTAGTGTGTGTGTGTAGTGTAGTGTGTGTAGTGTAGTGTGTGTAGTGTGTGTGTAGTGTGTGTGTGTAGTGTGTGTGTGTAGTGTGTGTGTGTAGTGTATAGTGTAGTGTAGTATGTGTAGTGTAGTGTGTGTGTAGTGTGTGTGTGTAGTGTGTGTGTGTAGTGTATAGTGTAGTGTAGTATGTGTAGTGTAGTGTGTGTAGTGTGTATGTGTGTAATGTAGTGTGTGTAGTGTAGTGTGTGTAGTGTGTGTGTAGTGTGTGTGTAGTGTGTGTAGTGTGTGTGTAGTGTAGTGTGTGTAGTGTGTGTAGTGTATAGTGTAGTGTGTGTGTGTAGTGTGTAGTGTATAGTGTAGTGTAGTATGTGTAGTGTGTGTGTGTGTAGTGTATATTGTAGTGTGTGTGTAGTGTTTGTAGTGTAGTGTGTGTAGTGTGTGTAGTTTAGTGTGTGTAGTGTGTGTAGTGTGTGTAGTGTAGTGTGTGTAGTGTGTGTAGTGTATAGTGTAGTGTGTGTAGTGTGTGTAGTTCAGTGTATAGTGTAGTGTGTGTGTAGTGTATAGTGTAGTGTGTGTAGTGTGTGTGTAGTGTGTGTGTGTGTAGTGTGTGTGTAGTGTATAGTGTAGTGTAGTATGTGTAGTGTAGTGTGTGTGTGTAGTGTATAGTATAGTGTGTGTAGTGTAGTGTGTGTGTGTAGTGTGTGTGTAATGTAGTGTGTGTAGTGTGTGTGTGTGTGTAGTGTATAGTGTAGTGTGTGTAGTGTAGTGTGTGTAGTGTGTGTGTGTAGTGTATAGTGTGTGTGTAGTGTGTGTAGTGTGTGTGTGTAGTGTATAGTGTGTGTGTAGTGTGTGTAGTGTGTGTAGTGTAGTGTGTAGTGTGTGTAGTGTAGTATGTGTAGTGTGGTGTGTGTAGTGTGTGTGTTGGTGTAGTGTGTGTGTGTAGTGTGTGTAGTGTATAGTGTAGTGTAGTATGTGTAGTGTAGTGTGTGTGTGTAGTGTATAGTGTAGTGTGTGTAGTGTAGTGTGTGTAGTGTGTGTAGTGTAGTGTGTGTAGTGTATAGTGTAGTTTGTTTAGTGTAGTGTGTGTACTGTGTGTAGTGTGTGTAGTGTAGTGTGTGAGTGTAGTGTAGTGTGTGTACGGTAGTGTGTGTAGTGTGTGTACTGTGTGTAGTGTGTGTGTGTAGTGTATAGTGTACTGTGTTTAGTGTAGTGTGTGTGTAGTGTGTGTAGTGTAGTGTGTGAGTGTAGTGTAGTGTGTGTACGGTAGTGTGTGTAGTGTGTGTGTGTAGTGTATAGTGTAGTGTGTGTAGTGTTGTGTGTGTAGTGTATAGTGTAGTGTGTGTAGTGTGTGCGGCTACTTGTATGTGACTTGCGGTGTGGTGACGGTGAATGTGGTAGCCGCCTGTTCCTTCACGCTCATCGTCCGCGTGTCGCAGAAGAGCAACCCCAGTCCAGCCTCAGCCTCCTGGCAACAGCAAAGACAAAGATCACAGCTACACACACAGCTACACACACAGCTACACACACAGCTACAACTACAGCCACACACAGCCACACACAGCTACATACATCTACACACACACACAGCTACACACACAGCTACACACAGCTACACACACACAGCTACACACAGCTACAACTACAGCCACACACAGCCACACACAGCTACACACAGCTACACACAGCTACACACACACAGCTACAACTACAGCCACACACAGCTACACACAGCTACACACAGCTACACACAGCCACACACAGCTACACACACAGCTACAACTACAGCCACACACAGCTACAACAACAACAACAACCGCCATTCGCCACTAAGTGGCGGTGACGTCACCACGACGCTTGTGCCAGGCCATGTGCACCTTGAGGCCACGTGGAGTGTCAAACGCCCGCTGGCAGGAGGTCACGGGGCAGACCCAGGTGCCACGGGTCGACTGACTGAGATGACTGAGATGACTGGCTGGTGCACCACCTGTGCCCCCTACTGTGCCAACCTGCTGTGCTTCAGCCACCCGGCGCTCCGCTCGTTGTTGTGAGCGTCGCTCCTCCGCCCTCCGTTGTTGTTGGAGGGCGACTACCTCCAACTGCCCAGTAGCGTCCTTCACGAGCCTCCTCCACAGAGGCCGATCTTGACACCGCTGGTACCAGTCATCGGCAAGTCCACTCAGCTCCACGTCCTCCCGTACCACGTCACTCCATCTCTTCTCTAGCCTGTGCCGCGCCCGTTCATCCCCCTCGATCCGGCCGGACAAAAAGCTGTTTGGGCATGCGGTGGCTGGGCATGCGGGCTACATGACCCAGCCAACGCAGCCTTGCCCTGCCGGAGGAATGTGCCCAGATCTTTCAAGGATTTGTGAGCTCCTCGCACAGTCCAGCCTGCAGGTTTTAAACCTGGGCGGACCGTAGGCAGGCCAGCCTGAATGTTTTTAACCGGCGCAGATGGCCCCGGGGGAATCGAAGATCTGACCACTGCTCTTTGCCTTAAGGTTGCTGATGGGTGAGGCGCCGTAAGTTACTTTTTTTCATGGAATTAATGATTTGTGATCGCGGGCTACTGACCCAGATCCTATCTCCTCAGCACCCCGCGCCCACCACCATCACCACCACCACCCAATCTCCGAGCGAAGGCTCCGGTAAGCCTCCTCATTCTCCGATGCTGCATGTTTTAGACGATGGGAGTGTGGCCCGTCGCTTTCACTCAACCTAGCCGGAACACCTCCTCTGTCAGCCACCATCTCTGGGGAGGTCGGGACAGCGTAACATGACGCACTCCGGCGGATGTTCTTGCTTGGATCCACGACGTTGTGTGGATGCGCCGATGCCGGAACAGCGTGGTTAGTGCTTGCAATCTCCACGGGCTGCACAAAAATCTAGTAGCCTCCTCCTGAGCTGATCTGGCCCACGCCTTCCAATCACTCCAGACCGGGTGCCAGCATCATGACCAACTCGGGCATTGAAGCCGCCCAACAAGATGACTCTGTCCCGAGGGGCCACTTTAGCCTGCACCTGTGACAGGAGGTCATGGAAGGCATCTGACTCATCGGCCTTGCCTGAATCCCTCCACGGATGTTCGTCTTCGCTGGGGGCATAAGCAACCACGACCACCACCATTCCTCACCCACTGTTGATGGTGAGGCGAGCCCACAGTAGCCTGGGAGTCACAGCTTCCCACACCTCACCGCCACGCTCCCACGCCCCGTTCATTATTTTGATCAGAAGAAGAGCCTCTCCCCGTTGTTTGGAAGCTTCCTGCCGCCAAGTGGAGAACTGTCCACCCCTCATGATGACCACAGCCAGAACCGGTCCACCTCCTGACGGAGAAGCGGCAGCCTTTCCTCTACACACTCCAGAACCGGTCCCACAGTCCACCTCCTGACGGAGGAGCGGCAGCCTTTCCTCTACACACTCCAGAACCGGTCCCACAGTCCACCTCCTGACGGAGGAGCGGCAGCCTTTCCTCTACACACTCCAGAACCGGTCCACAGTCCACCTCCTGACGGAGGAGCGGCAGCCTTTCCTCTACACACTCCAGAACCGGTCCCACAGTCCACCTCCTGACGGAGGAGCGGCAGCGTTTCCTCTACAAACTCCAGAACCGGACCACCGGAGCTCCCTGCATTCCACAGAGGTCCAGGCGGTACCGGTCCACCTCCTGACGGAGAAGCGGCAGCCTTTCCTCTGCACCGAGAGGGCCCGGACATTACATGCGGACAAACGGGGCGCTTCTCCTGTTCCTGGAGGAACCCCGAGATGGATTGGGGTGTGGGGGGGGTGGTGGTGATCGTGGTTGTGGTGGTGGTGGTTGTGGTGGTGGGGTGCTGGTGGTGGTGGTGGTGATGGTGGTGGTGGTTGTGGTGGTGGGGTGGTTGTGGTGGTGGGGTGCTGGTGGTGGTGGTTGTGGTGGTGGGGTGGTTGTGGTGGTGGTTGTGCTGGTGGTGGTGATGGTGGTGGTGGGGTGCTGGTGGTGGTTGTGATGGTGGGGTGCTGGTGGTGGTGATGGTGGTGGTGGGGTAGTGGTGGTTGTGGTGGTGGTGGTTGTGGTGGTGGTGGTGATGGTGGTGGTGGTGATGGTGGGGGTGGGGGTGGTGGTGGTGGTGATGGTGGTGGTGGTGGGGTGCTGGTGGTGGTTATGATGGTGGCGTGCTGGTGGTGGTGGTGGTGGGGTGGTGGTGGTTGGGTGGTGGTGGTTGGGTGGTGGTGGTGGTGGTGGGGTGGTGGTGAGGTGGTGGTAGTGGTGGTGGTGGGGTGGTGGTGGTGGGGTGGTGGTGGTTGTGGTGGTGGTTGTGGTAGTGGTGTGGTGGTGATGGTAGTGGTGGTGGTTGTGGTAGTGGTGGTGGTGGTGATGGTAGTGGTGGTGATGGTAGTGGTAGTGGTGGTGGTAGTGGTGGTGGTGATGGTAGTGGTGGTTGTGGTGGTGGTGATGGTGGTTGTGGTGGTGATGGTGGTTGTGGTGATGGTAGTGGTTGTGGTGGTGGTGATGGTGGTTGTGGTGGTGGTAGTGGTTGTGGTGGTGGTTGTGGTAGTGGTGGTGGTTGTGGTGGTTGTGGTAGTGGTTGTGGTAGTGGTGTGGTGGTGATGGTAGTGGTGGTGGTGATGGTAGTGGTTGTGGTGGTGGTTGTGGTGGTGGTGATGGTGGTTGTGGTGGTGATGGTGGTGATGGTAGTGGTGGTTGTGGTGCTGGTGGTTGTGGTGGTGGTAGTTGTGGTGGTGGGGTGGTGGTGCTGGTGGTGGCGGTGGTTGTGGTGGTGGTAGTAGTGGCGGTGGTTGTGGTGGTGGTAGTGGTGGTGGTTGTGGTTGTGGTGGTTGTTGTGGTTGTAGTGGTTGTTGTGGTTGTGGTGGTTGCGGTAGTGGTGGTGGTGGTTGTTGTTGTTGTGGTTGTGGTAGTGGTGGTGGTTGTGGTAGTTGTTGTTGTTGTGGTAGTGGTGGTGGTGGTTGTGGTAGTTGTGGTGGTGGTTGTGGTAGTGGTTGTTGTGGTTGTGGTAGTGGTGGTGATGGTAGTGGTTGTTGTGGTAGTGGTGGTTGTGGTGGTTGTTGTGGTGGTTGTGGTGGTGATGGTAGTGGTTGTTGTGGTAGTGGTGGTTGTGGTGGTTGTTGTGGTGGTTGTGGTGGTTGTTGTTGTGGTAGTGGTTGTTATAGTTGTGGTGATGGTTGTGGTAGTGGTGGTTGTTGTGATGGTAGTGGTGGTGGTTGTGATGGTAGTGGTTGTGGTTGTTGTGGTTGCTGTGGTTGTTGTGGTAGTGGTTGTGGTAGTGGTGGTGGTGGTTGTGGTAGTGGTGGTGGTTGTGATGGTAGTGGTTGTTGTGGTTGTTGTGGTAGTGGTGGTTGTTGTGGTTGTTGTGGTGGTTGTTGTGGTGGTTGTTGCTGTGGTTGTGGTGGTGGTTGTTGTGATGGTAGTGGTTGTTATTGTGGTTGTGGTGATGGCAGTGGTTGTGGTTGTTCTGGTTATGGTTGTTGTGGTTGTGGTTGTTGTTGTTGTGGTTGTTGTGGTTGTTGTGATGGTAGTGGTTGTTGTGGTTGTTGTTGTTGTGGTTGTGGTTGTTGTGGTTGTTGTGGTAGTGGTGGTTGTTGTTGTGGTTGTTGTGATGGTAGTGGTTGTTGTTGTTGTGGTTGTTGTGGTTGTTGTTGTGGTAGTGGTGGTGGTTGTTGTTGTGGTTGTTGTGATGGTAGTGGTTGTTGTTGTGGTTGTTGTGGTGGTTGTTGTGATGGTAGTGGTTGTTGTTGTTGTGGTTGTTGTGGTGGTAGTGGTTGTTGTGATGGTAGTGGTTGTTGTTGTTGTGGTTGTTGTGGTGGTAGTGGTTGTTGTTGTTGTTGTTGTGGTGGTGGTGGTTGTTGTGATGGTAGTGGTTGTTGTTGTTGTGGTTGTTGTGGTGGTAGTGGTTGTTGTTGTTGTGGTTGTTGTGGTTGTTGTGGTGGTAGTGGTTGTTGTTGTTGTGGTGGTGGTTGTTGTGATGGTAGTGGTTGTTGTTGTTGTGGTTGTTGTGGTTGTTGTGGTTGTTGTGGTGGTAGTGGTTGTTGTTGTGGTGGTGGTTGTTGTGATGGTAGTGGTTGTTGTTGTTGTGGTTGTTGTGGTGGTAGTGGTTGTTGTTGTTGTTGTGGTGGTGGTAGTGGTTGTTGTTGTGGTGGTGGTAGTGGTTGTTGTTGTGGTTGTTGTGGTGGTAGTGGTTGTTGTTGTTGTGGTTGTTGTGGTGGTAGTGGTTGTTGTGGTTGTTGTGGTGGTAGTGGTTGTTGTTGTGGTTGTTGTGGTGGTAGTGGTTGTTGTTGTTGTTGTGGTAGTGGTTGTTGTTGTTGTGGTGGTGGTTGTTGTGGTGGTAGTGGTTGTTGTTGTTGTTGTGGTAGTGGTTGTTGTGGTGGTGGTGGTTGTTGTGGTGGTAGTGGTTGTTGTTGTTGTGGTTGTTGTGGTAGTGGTGGTGGTTGTTGTTGTGGTTGTGGTTGTTGTGATGGTAGTGGTTGTTGTTGTTGTGGTTGTTGTGGTAGTGGTGGTGGTTGTTGTTGTGGTTGTGGTTGTTGTGATGGTAGTGGTTGTGGTGGTTGTTGTGGTTGTTGTGGTGGTAGTGGTTGTTGTGATGGTAGTGGTGGTTGTTGTTGTGGTTGTTGTGGTGGTTTCAGTCTCCTGTCTCTGCTGGACGCGGCTTGGCCAGGAGGCGTCGCGGTCGCCCCTCCCTCCCCCCATGCCCCGCCCTCCCATGCCCCGCCCCCCATCTGCGCGTCACGGTGCACGTGCTAGGAAACGCCTCTACAGCCCCGCCCCTCCCCCCGCCCGCCCCCCCCACGCCCCGCCCCCCACCTGCGCGTCACGTTGCACGTGCAAGTAAAAGTGTCTACAGCCCCGCCCCTCCCACCGCCCCCCCCATGCCCCGCCCCCCCCCCCATGCCCCGCCCCCCACCTGCGCGTCACGGTGCACGTGCAGGCAGAGCGCGTGCAGCACGCCGAGCACGCGCAGCCCCTTGAGGCCCAGGGCCCCGCGCGTCACGAGGCGGCCCCACGGGGGCCACGGAGGCCCCCCGAGGGGCGTGGTCACCGCCAGCAGGGCCTTCAGCAGCGACTCACGTGACTCTGGGGGGGGGGGGGTAATAGGGGTGGGGGTGGGGGAGAGGGTGGGGGAGGGGGTGGGGTGATGGGGGGGTGATGGGGGGGTGGTGGTGGGTGGGTGATGGAAGGGTGATGGGTGGGTGGTGGTGGGGGGGTGGTGGTGGGTGGGTGGTGGTGGGGGGGTGGTGGTGGGGGGGTGGTGGTGGGGGGGTGATGGGGGGGTGATGGGGGGGGTGATGGGGGGGTGATGGGAGGGGGATCATAGGGGGTATGTTAGTAATGGTGGTGGTGATGGTGGTGGTGATGGAGGTGATGGTGGTGATACCTCTAATAATTATTCTGTTGAACATGATAACACTGATGATGATGTTACTGGTGATGATTTAATGATGATGATGTTCGTGATGATTTATGATGATGATGCTCGTGATGATTTATGATGATGATGATGCTGCTGCTCTTGATCATTGATGATGATGAGGATGCTCATGATGATTTATGATGATGATGCTCATGATGATTATAATGATGATGGTGATGATTTATGATGATAATGATGCTCTTGATGATTATAATGATGATGGTGATGATGATTATAATGATTATGATGCTGCTCTTGATGATTTATGATGATGATAATGCTGCTCTTGATGATGTATGATTATTATAATGATGATGCTAATGATGATTTATAATGATGATTTATAGTGATGATTTATGATGATGATGCTGGTCTTAATGATTTATGATGATGATGCTCTTGATGATTTATGATTATCATAATGATGATGCTGCTGCTGCTGGTACCCTCACCGACAGAGTCAAAGGTGAGGCTGATGGTCGAGTCGCCCTTGACCGTGACCTTGACCCCTGGCTGCACTCCTTGACCGCGGTCCACAGAGGTCACGGAGCCGAGCGACAGGAACCAGTCCATCGCCACCTGCAGATACAGCTACAGCTACACACACAGCTACACCCACACAGCTACACACACAGCTACACACACAGCTACACCACACAGCTACACGCACACACAGACACACACACACAGACACACACAGACACACACACAGACACACAGCTACACACACACAGCTACACACAGCTACACACACAGCTACACCACACAGCTACACAAACAGCTACACACACAGCTACACACAGCTACACTACACAGCTACACACACAGCTACACACACACAGCAACACACACAGCTACACACAGAGCTACACACACACACAGACACACACACACAGCTACACACACAGCTACACCACACAGCTACACCACACAGCTACACACACAGCTACACACACACAGCTACACCACACAGCTACACACACAGCTACACACGCAGCTACACACACACACAGCTACACACACAGCTACACACACGCAGCTAAACACACAGCTACACACACACACAATTATACACACAGCTACACACAGCGCTATACACACACAGCTACACAGCTATACACACAGCTATACACCGCGCTACACACAGCTATACACACACAGCTACACACACAGCAACACCACACAGCTACAAACACAGCTACACACACAGCTACACACACAGCTACAGATACACACAGCTACACACACAGCTACACACACAGCTACACACATACACAGCTACACACACAGCTACACACACAGCTACACACAGCTACACACAGCCACACACACAGCCACACGCACAGCCACACACACAGCTACACAAACAGCCACACACACACAGCTACACACAAAGCTACAGACAGCTACAGCTACACACAGCTACACACACAGCTACAGCTACACACACAGCTACACAAACAGCTACACACAGCTACACACACAGCTACACACACAGCTACACTCAGCCACACACACAGCTACACATAGCCACACACACAACCACACACACAGCTACACACAGCTACAGCTACACACAGCTACAGCTACACACACACACAGCTACACACAGCTACACACAGCGCTACACACACAGCTACAGCTACACACACACAGCTACACACACAGCTACACAAACAGCTTCACACAGCTACACACACAGCTACAGCTACACACACACACACACAGCTACACACACAGCTACACACAGCTACACACACAGCTACACTCAGCCACACACACAGCTACACACAGCCACACACACAGGTACACACACAGCTACACTCAGCCACACACACAGCTACACACAGCTACAGCTACACAGCTACAGCTACACACAGCTACAGCTATACACAGCTACAGCTACACACAGCTACACACAGCCACACACAGCTACAGCTACACACACACACACAGCTACACACAGCTACACACAGCTACAGCTACACACGGCTACAGCTACACACACACACAGCTACACACAGCTACAGCTACACACAGCTACAGTTACACACACACAGCTACACACACAGCTACAGCTACACACACAGCTACACACAGCTACAGCTACACACACACACAGCTACACACAGCTACAGCTACACACAGCTACACACAGCTACAGCTACACACACACACAGCTACACACAGCTACAGCTACACACACACACAGCTACACACAGCCACACACAGCTACAGCTACACACACACAGCTACACACACACACAGCTACACACAGCCATACACAGCTACAGCTACACACACATACAGCTACACACAACTACACACAGCTACAGCTACACACACACAGCTACACACAGCTACACACACACAGCTACACACAGCTACACACACACACAGCTACACACAGCTACAGCTACACACACACAGCTACACACGGCTACAGCTACACACACACAGCTACACACAGCTACAGCTACACACAGCTACAGCTACACACACAGCTACACACACAGCTACAGCTACACACACACACAGCTACACACAACTACACACAGCTACAGCTACACACACACAGCTACACACAGCTACACACAGCTACACACACACACAGCTACACACAGCTACACACACACAGCTACACACAGCCACACACAGCTACAGCTACACACACACAGCTACACACAGCTACACACACACACACACAGCTACACACAGCTACAGCTACACACACACAGCTACACACAGCTACAGCTACACACACAGTTACACACAGCTACACACACACACACAGCTACACACAGCCACACACAGCTACAGCTACACACACACAGCTACACACAGCTACAGCTACACACACAGCTACAGCTACACACGCACACAGCTACACACACACAGCTACACACAGCTACACACACCCACAGCTACACACACACAGCTACACACACAGCTACACACACACACACAGCTACACACAACTACACACAGCTACAGCTACACACACACAGCTACACACAGCTACACACAGCTACACACACACAGCTACACACAGCTACACACACAGAGCTACACACAGCCACACACAGCTACAGCTACACACACACAGCTACACACAGCTACACACACACACAGCTACACACAGCTACAGCTACACACACACAGCTACTCACAGCTACAGCTACACACACAGCTACACACAGCTACACACACACACACAGCTACACACAGCTACAGCTACACACACACAGCTACACACAGCTACAGCTACACACACAGCTACACACAGCTACACACACACACACAGCTACACACAGCCACACACAGCTACAGCTACACACACACAGCTACACACAGCTACAGCTACACACACACACAGCTACAGCTACACACGCACACAGCTACACACACACAGCTACACACAGCTACACACACACACAGCTACACACACACAGCTACACACACAGCTACACACACACACACAGCTACACACACAGCTACACACACACAGCTACACACACACAGCTACACACACACACAGCTACACACACACACACACAGCTACACACACACAGCTACACACACACAGCTACAGCTACACACACACAGCTACACACACACAGCTACACACACACACAGCTACACACACAGCTACACACACACAGCTACACACACAGCTACACACACAGCTACACACACAGCTACACACACAGCTACACACACACAGCTACACACACAGCTACACACACACAGCTACACACACACAGCTACACACACACACAGCTACACACAGCCACACACAGCTACAGCTACACACACAGCTACACACACAGCTACACACACACACAGCTACACACACACACAGCTACACACCCAGCTACACACATACAGCTACACACACAGCTACACACACACACAGCTACACACACACACAGCTACACACACAGCTACACACAGCTACACACACACACAGCTACACACACACACACAGCTACACACACATACACACACAGCTACACACACACAGCTACACACACACAGCTACACACAGCTACACACACAGCTACACACACAGCTACACACAGTTACACACACAGCTACACACACAGCTACACACACACAGCTCCACACACACACACACAGCTACACACACACAGCTACACACACACACAGCTACACACACAGCTACACACAGCTACACACACACACAGCTACACACACACACACACAGCTACACACACATACACACACAGCTACACACACAGCTACACACACACAGCTACACACACAGCTACACACAGCTACACACACAGCTACACACACAGCTACACACAGCTACACACACAGCTACACACACACACAGCTACACACACACAGCTACACACAGCCACACACAGCTACAGCTACACACACACAGCTACACACAGCTACACACACACACAGCTACACACAGCTACAGCTACACACACAGAGCTACACACAGCTACAGCTACACACACAGCTACACACAGCTACACACACAGCTACACACAGCCACACACAGCTACAGCTACACACACACAGCTACACACAGCTACAGCTACACACACACAGCTACAGCTACACACGCACACAGCTACACACACACAGCTACACACAGCTACACACACACAGCTACACACACACAGCTACACACACACAGCTACACACACACACAGCTACACACACACACAGCTACACACAGACAGCTACACACACACAGCTACACACAGCTACACACACACAGCTACACACACAGCTACACACAGCTACACACACACACACAGCTACACACACACAGCTACAGCTACACACACACACAGCTACACACACACAGCTACACACACACACAGCTACACACACAGCTACACACACACAGCTACACACACAGCTACACACACAGCTACACACACACACAGCTACACACACAGCTACACACACAGCTACACACACACACAGCTACACACACACACAGCTACACACACAGCTACACACACACACAGCTACACACACACACAGCTACACACACACACAGACACACACACACAGACACACAGCTACAGCTACACACACAGCTACACACACAGCTACACACACAGCTACACACACACACACAGCTACACACACACACAGCTACACACCCAGCTACACACATACAGCTACACACACAGCTACACACACACACAGCTACACACACACACAGCTACACACACAGCTACACACAGCTACACACACAGCTACACACACACACAGCTACACACACATACACACACAGCTACACACACACAGCTACACACACAGCTACACACACACAGCTACACACAGCTACACACACAGCTACACACACAGCTACACACACACAGCTCCACACACACACACACAGCTACACACACACAGCTACACACACAGCTACACACACACACAGCTACACACACACAGCTACACACAGCCACACACAGCTACACACACACACACAGCTACACACACACAGCGACACACACACACAGCTACACACACAGCTACACACGGCTACACACAGCTACACACACACAGGTACGCACACACACACAGCTACACACACACACACACAGCTACACACACACACAGCTACACACACACACAGCTACACACACAGCTACACACACAGCTACACACACACACACAGCTACACACACAGCTACACACACAGCTACACACACACACGCAGCTACACACACAGCTACACACACAGCCACACACACACACAGCTACACACAGCTACACACACAGCTACACACAGCTACACACAGCTACACACACAGCTACACACACAGCCACACACACACACAGCCACACACACACACAGCTACACACACAGCTACACACACAGCTACACACAGACAGCTACACACACAGCTACACACAGACAGCTACACACAGCTACACACACACAGCTACACACAGCTACACACAGCTACACACACACACAGCTACACACACACAGCTACACACACAGATACGCACACACACAGCTACACACACACACAGCTACACACACACACAGCTGCACACAGCTACACACACAGCTACACACACACACACACAGCTACACACACAGCTACACACAGCTACACACACACAGCTACACACACACACAGCTACACACAGCTACACACAGCTACACACACACACACAGCTACACACACACACAGCTACACACACAGCTACACACACACAGCTACACACACACAGCTACACACACAGCTACAGCTACACACACACAGCTACACACACACACAGCTACACATACAGCTACACACAGCTACACACACACAGCTACACACACACACACAGCTACACACAGCTACACACACACACAGCTACACACACAGCTTCACACACACAGCTACACACACAGCTACACACACACAGCTACAAACACACAGCTACACACACACACAGCTACACACACAGCTACACACAGCTACACACACACAGCTACACACACAGCTACACACAGCTACACACACAGCTACACACACACACAGCTACACACACAGCTACACACACACACAGCTACACACACAGCTACACACACAGCTACACACACACACAGCTACACACAGCTACACACACACAGCTACACACAGCTACACACACAGCTACACACACACACACACAGCTACACACACACAGCTACACACACACACAGCTACACACACAGCTACACACACACAGCTACACATACAGCTACACACAGCTACACACACACACACAGCTACACACACACACACAGCTACACACACACAGCTACACACACACAGCTACACACACACACAGCTACACACACACAGCTACACACACACACAGCTACACACACACAGCTACACACACAGCTACACACACACACAGCTACACACACAGCTACACACACACAGCTACACACACAGCTACACACACACACAGCTACACACACACACACACAGCTACACACACAGCTACACACACAGCTACACACACACAGCTACACACACACACAGCTACGCACAGCCACACACAGCTACAGCTACACACACAGCTACACACACAGCTACACACACACACAGCTACACACACACACAGCTACACACACAGCTACACACACACAGCTACACACACACACAGCTACACACACACACAGCTACACACACAGCTACACACAGCTACACACACACACAGCTACACACACAGCTACACACACATACACACACAGCTACACACACAGCTACACACACACAGCTACACACACAGCTACACACACACAGCTACACACACAGCTACACACACAGCTACACACAGCTACACACACAGCTACACACACAGCTACACACACACAGCTACACACACACACAGCTACACACACACACAGCTACACACACACACAGCTACACACACAGCTACACACACACAGCTACACACACACACAGCTACACACACAGCTACACACACAGCTACACACACACACACAGCTACACACACAGCTACACACACACAGCTACACACACAGCTACACACACAGCCACACACACAGCCACACACACACAGCTACACACAGCTACACACACAGCTACACACAGCTACACACACAGCTACACACACAGCCACACACACACAGCCACACACACACACAGCTACACACACAGCTACACACACAGCTACACACACACACAGCTACACACACAGCTAAACACACAGCTACACACACAGCTACACACACACACAGCTACACACACAGCTACACAGCTACACACAGCTACACACACACAGCTACACACACAGATACGCACACACACAGCTACACACACACACAGCTACACACACACACAGCTACACACAGCTACACAAACAGCTACACACACACACAGCTACACACAGCTACACACAGCTACACACAGCTACACACACACACAGCTACACACACACAGCTACACACACACACAGCTACACACACACACAGCTACACACACAGCTACACACACACAGCTACACACACACAGCTACAGCTACACACACACAGCTACACACACACACACACAGCTACACATACAGCTACACACAGCTACACACACACACAGCTACACACACACACAGCTACACACAGCTACACACACACACAGCTACACACACAGCTACTCACACACACAGCTACACACACAGCTACACACACAGCTACACACACACAGCTACACACACACACAGCTACACACACACACAGCTACACACACAGCTACACACACACACAGCTACACACACAGCTACACACACACACAGCTACACACACAGCTACACACGGCTGACCCTGTCTGACTTGTAGAAGCAGAGGCATCCGGACTGAAACTTGAAGCACCTCTGTGAGTTGGAACTGCGGGAGAGAGAGAGAGAGAGTCAGCCACGGGCGGCTACGTAGACACCCACAGAGACACTCACAGAGACACACACAGAGACACACACAGAGACACACAAAGAGACACACACAGAGACACACACAGAGACACTCACAGAGACACACACAGAGACACACACAGAGACACCCACAGAGACACACAGAGACACCCACAGACACACACACAGAGACTCCCACAGAGACACACACAGAGACACCCACAGAGACACACAGAGACACCCACAGAGACACCCACAGAGACACACAGAGACACCCACAGAGACACACACAGAGACACCCACAGACACACACAGAGACACCCACAGAGACACACACAGAGACACACACAAAGACACCCACAGAGACACACACAGAGACACTCACAGAGACACCCACAGAGACACACACAGAGATACCCACATAGACACACAGAGACACTCACAGAGACACACACAGACACACCCACAGAGACACCCACAGAGACACACACAGAGACACACACAGAGACACACAGAGACACACAAAGACTCACAGAGACAAACACAGAGACACCAACAGAGACACACACAGAGACTCACAGAGACACACACAGAGACACACAGAGACACACAAAGACTCACAGAGACACACACAGAGACACACACAGAGACACCCACAGGGACTCACAGAGACACACAGAGACACACAAAGACTCACAGAGACAGACAGAGACTCACAGAGACTCACAGAGACACAAAGAGACCCACAGAGACACAGAGACACACACAGAGACACACAGAGACACACAAAGACTCACAGAGACACCCACAGAGACACCCACAGAGACCCATAGAGACACACAGAGACTCACAGAGACCCACAGAAACACACAGAGACTCACAGAGACACAGAGACACCCACAGAGACTCACAGAGACACACAGAGACACACAAAGACTCACAGAGATACACACAGAGACACCCACAGAGACACCCACAGAGACCCATAGAGACACACAGAGACCCACACAGACCCACAGAGACACACAGAGACTCACAGAGACACAGAGAGACCCACAGAGACACAGAGACACACACAGCGACATACAGAGACCACTGGAACCGTGTCACTAACCCCCTGAACACGCCACCACTGGAACCGTGTCACTAACAGAGACACATAGAGACACCCACAGAGACACACAGAGACACACAGAGACCCACAGAGACACACAGAGACTCACAGAGACACAGAGAGACCCACAGAGACACAGAGACACACACAGAGACACACAGAGACACACAAAGACTCACAGAGACACCCACAGAGACACACACAGAGACACCCACAGAGACACACAGAGACATAGAGAGACCCACAGAGACACAGAGACACACACAGCGACATACAGAGACCACTGGAACCCTGTCACTAACCGCCTGAACACGCCACCACTGGAACCGTGTCACTAACAGAGACACATAGAGACACATAGAGACACCCACAGAGACCCACAGAGACACAGAGACACACACAGCGACATACAGAGACCACTGGAACCGTGTCACTAACCCCCTGAACACGCTACCACTGGAACCGTGTCACAGGTGGTTATTCGGCAAACGGCATCAGCAACGTACCTGCCCCGCTTGACGTTAATGACCAGGCCGGTCAACGAGAGCTCCTCTCCCTTCACCTGCTGCTGCTGCTGGTGCTTCTTCACATCTCCTGCACTGATCGGGGCAACGCGAAGCACATCTTGCCATGTTCATGCATCACGCTCGGTCGGGATCGAACCCACGACCTGCCGTAGCAGGCGAGGTGGTTAATGTGGCACAGGTTGCTAAGTGGGTGGGTGTAGTGGGTAAATGAGTGGGTGGGTGGAGTGGGTCAATGAGTGGGTGGGTGTAGTGGGTAAATGAGTGGGTGGGTGAGTGAGTGAGTGGGTGAGTGAGTTAGTGGGTGGGTGGGTGAGCGATTGTGTGAGTCAGTGAGTGAGTGGGTGAGTGAGTGGGTGAGTGAGTGAGTGGGTGAGTGAGTGGGTGAGTCAGTGGGTGAGTGGGTGGGTGTAGTGGGTAAATGAGTGGGTGGGTGAGCGAGTGATTGGGTGGAAGGTTGAGTAAGTAAATAAGTGGGTGGATGAGCAAATGGGTTTGTATGTGGGTGGTTGGTTGAGTGAGTGGGTGAGTGAGTGGGTGAGTGAGTGAGTGGGTGTGTGAGTGGGTGAGTGAGTGGGTGAGTGAGTGAGTGGGTGAATGAGTGGGTGAGTGAGTGGGTGAGTGGGTGAGTGAGTGGGTGAGTGAGTGGGTGAGTGAGTAGATGGGTGTGTGAGTGGGTGAGTGAGTGGGTGAGTGGGTGAGTGAGTGAGTGGGTGAGTGAGTGGGTGAGTGAGTGAGTGGGTGAATGAGTGAGTGAGTGTGTGAGTGGGTGAGTGGGTGAGTGAGTGGGTGAGTGGGTGAGTGAGTGGGTGAGTAAGTGGGTGAGTGGGTGAGTGGGTGAGTGAGTGGGTGGGTGAGTGAGTGAGTGGGTGAGTGAGTGGGTGGGTGAGTGAGTGAGTTAGTGAGTGGGTGGGTGGGTGAGCGATTGTGTGAGTGAGCGAGTGATTGGGTGTAAAGGTCAGTGGCTCAATCAGTGGGTGAGTGAGGGAATGATTGCGTTGGTGGGTGGGTGAGTGAATGGGTGGGTGGGTGAGTATATGAAGTGGGTGGGTGAGTGGCTAGATGAGTCAGTAGGTGAGTGAATGGGTGGGTGAGTGGGTGAGTGAGTGAATGGGTGGGTGGGTGAGTGAGTGAATGGGTGGGTGAGTCAATGGGTTGGTGGGTGGGTGAGCTAATGAGTGGGTGGGTTAGCGAATGTGTGGGTAGTCGAGTGGGTGGGTGGGTGAGCGAGTGGTTGGGTGAGTGAGTGAGTGGGTGGGTGGGTGAGTGGGTGAGCGAGTGGGTGAGTGAGTGGTTGAGTGAGTGATTGGGTGGCAGGGTGAGTGGGTAAATGAGTGGGTGGGTGAGTGGGGAAATTAGTGGGTGGGTGAGTGAATGAGTGGTTGAATGAGTGAATGAATGGGTGGGTGATTGAATGAGTGGGTGGGTGGGTTAACTAATGAGTGGGTCGGTGAGCGAATGGGTGGGTAGGTGATTGGGTGGGTGAGCGAGTGGGTGAGTAAGTGGGTGAGTGAGTGATTGGGTGGAAGGTTGAGTAGGTAAATTAGTGGGTAGATGAGCAAATGGGTGTGGGTGGGTGGTTGGTTGAGTGAGTGGGTGGGTGGTTCGGTGGGGAAGTGGGTGAGTTAGTGTGTGAGTGAGTGGGTGAGCGAGTGATTGGGTGGAAGGGTGAGTGGCTCAATCAGTGGGTGAGTGAGGGAATTATTGCGTTGGTGGGTGGGTGAGTGAATGGGTGGGTGGGTGAGTGAATGGGTGGGTGGGTGGGTGAGTGAATGGGTGGGTGGGTGAGTGAATGAGTTGGTTGTTGAGTGAATGAGTGGGTGGGTGAGTGAATAGGTGGGTAGGTGGGTGAGTGAATGAGTGGGTGGTTGAGTGAATGGGTGGGTGAGTGAATGAGTGGGTGGTTGAGTGAATTGGTGGGTGGGTGAGTGAATGGGTGGGTGGGTAGGTGAGTGGTTAAATGAGTGGGTGGATGAGCGATTGGGTGTGTGGGTAGGTGGGTGGGTGGGTGAGTGAGCGGGTGGGTGAGCGAGTGGGCGAGTGGGCGAGTGGGTGAGTGGGTGAGTGGGCGAGTGGGTGAGCGAGTGGGCGAGTGGTTGGTTGAGTGAGTGGGTGGGTGGGTGAGTAAATGGGTGGGTGGTTGGTTGAGTGAGTGGGCGGGTGGTTGGTTGGGTAGGTGGCTGAGCGAGTGGGCGAGTCGGTGGGTGGTTGGTTGAGTGAGCGGGTGAGTGACTGAGTGGGTGAGTGAGTGGGTGAGTGAGTTAGTGAGTGGGTGGGTGGGTGAGCGATTGTGTGAGTGAGTGAGTGAGCGAGTGATTGTGTGTAAAGGTCAGTGACTCAATCAGTGGGTGAGTGAGGGAATGATTGCGTTGGTGGGTAGGTGAGTGAATGGGTGGGTGGGTGAGTGGATAAATGAGTGGGTGGGTGAGTATATGAAGTGGGTGGGTGAGTGGCTAGATGAGTCAGTAGGTGAGTGAATGGGTGGGTGAGTGGGTGAGTGAGTGAATGGGTGGGTGGGTGAGTGAGTGAATAGGTGGGTGAGTGAATGGGTTGGTGGGTGGGTGAGCTAATGAGTGGGTGGGTGAGCGAATGTGTGGGTAGTCGAGTGGGTGGGTGGGTGAGCGAGTGGGTGGGTGAGTGAGTGGGTGGGTGGGTGGGTGAGTGAGTGGGTGAGCGAGTGGGTGAGTGAGTGGTTGAGTGAGTGATTGGGTGGCAGGGTGAGTGGGTGAATGAGTGGGTGGGTGAGTGGGGAAATTAGTGGGTGGGTGAGTGAATGAGTGGTTGGATGAGTGAATGAATGGGTGGGTGATTGAATGAGTGGGTGGGTGGGTTAACTAATGAGTGGGTCGGTGAGCGAATGGGTGGGTAGGTGATTGGGTGGGTGAGCGAGTGGGTGAGTAAGTGGGTGAGTGAGTGGGTGAGTGAGTGGGTGAGTGAGTGATTGGGTGGAAGGTTGAGTAGGTAAATTAGTGGGTAGATGAGCAAATGGGTGTGGGTGGGTGGTTGGTTGAGTGAGTGGGTGGGTGGTTTGGTGGGTAAGTGGGTGAGTTAGTGTGTGAGTGAGTGGGTGAGCGAGTGATTGGGTGGAAGGGTGAGTGGCTCAATCAGTGGGTGAGTGAGGGAATTATTGCGTTGGTGGGTGGGTGAGTGAATGGGTGGGTGGGTGGGTGAGTGAATGGGTGGGTGGGTGGGTGAGTGAATGAGTTGGTTGGTGAGTGAATGAGTGGGTGGGTGAGTGAATGGGTGGGTGGGTGGGTGAGTGAATGAGTGGGTGGTTGAGTGAATGGGTGTGTGAGTGAATGAGTGGGTGGTTGAGTGAATGGGTGGGTGGGTGAGTGAATGGGTGGGTGGCTGGGTGAGTAGTTAAATGAGTGGGTGGATGAGCGATTGGGTGTGTGGGTGGGTGGGTGAGTGAGCGGGTGGGTGAGCCAGTGGGCGAGTGGGTGAGTGGGTGAGTGGGCGAGTGGGTGAGCGAGTGGGCGAGTGGTTGGTTGAGTGAGTGGGTGGGTGAGTAAATGGGTGGGTGGTTGGTTGAGTGAGTGGGCGGGTGGTTGGTTGGGTAGGTGGCTGAGCGAGTGGGTGAGTGGGTGGTTGGTTGAGTGAGCGGGTGAGTGAGTGAGTTAGTGGGTGAGCGAGTGGGCGAGTGGATGGGTGGTTGCTTGGGTAGGTGGCTGAGCAAGTGGGCGAGTGGGTGGGTGGTTGGTTGAGTGAGCGGGTGAGTGAGTGAGTGGGTGAGCGAGTGGGCGGGTGGATGGGTGGTTGCTTGGGTACGTGGCTGAGTGAGGGGTGAGTGGGCGAGTGGGCGAGTGGGCGGGTGGGTGAGCGAAGTGGGTGGGTGGTTGGTTGAGTGAGCGTGCGGGTGGTTGGTTGGGTAGGTGGCTGAGCGAGTGGGCGAGTCGGTGGGTGGTTGGTTGAGTGAGCGGGTGAGTGACTGGGTGAGCGAGTGGGCGAGTGGATGGGTGGTTGCTTGGGTAGGTGGCTGAGTGAGTGGGTGAGTGGGCGAGTGGGTGAGTGGGCGAGTGGGCGAGTGGGCGAGTGGGCGGGTGGGTGAGCGAAGTGGGTGGGTGGTTGGTTGAGTGAGCGTGCGGGTGGTTGGTTGGGTAGGTGGCTGAGCGAGTGGGCGAGTCGGTGGGTGGTTGGTTGAGTGAGCGGGTGAGTGACTGGGTGAGCGAGTGGGCGAGTGGATGGGTGGTTGCTTGGGTAGGTGGCTGAGTGAGTGGGCGAGTGGGCGAGTGGGCGAGTGGGCGAGTGGGTGAGCGAAGTGGGTGGGTGGTTGGTTGAGTGAGCGTGCGGGTGGTTGGTTGGGTAGGTGGCTGAGCGAGTGGGCGAGTCGGTGGGTGGTTGGTTGAGTGAGCGGGTGAGTGACTGGGTGAGCGAGTGGGCGAGTGGATGGGTGGTTGCTTGGGTAGGTGGCTGAGTGAGTGGGCGAGTGGGCGAGTGGGCGGGTGGGCGAGTGGGCGAGTGGGCGAGTGGGTGAGCGAAGTGGGTGGGTGGTTGGTTGAGTGAGCGTGCGGGTGGTTGGTTGGGTAGGTGGCTGAGCGAGTGGGCGAGTCAGTGGGTGGTTGGTTGAGTGAGCGGGTGAGTGACTGGGTGAGCGAGTGGGCGAGTGGATGGGTGGTTGCTTGGGTATGTGGCTGAGTGAGTGGGTGAGTGGGCGAGTGGGTGAGTGGGCGAGTGGGCGAGTGGGCGAGTGGGTGGGTGGGTGAGCGAAGTGGGTGGGTGGTTGGTTGAGTGAGCGGTCGGGTGGTTGGGTGGGTAGGCGGCTGAGCGAGTGGGCGAGTCGGTGGGTGGGTGAGCGATGTGGGTGGGTGGTTTCGTTGAGTGAGCGGGCGGGTGGTTGGGTGGGCAGGCGGCTGAGCGAGCGTGTAGACTGGTGAGTGCGCGTGTGAGCTTCTGCCTTCCTCTCCCGTTATACCCCCCCCTCCCAGCCCCTCCCCCACCCACCCGGCACCGACGTTCCCCGCCGGTGCACGAGCGCCGACGCCGCCGACGTCGCGCGTCAAGCTGGGCGGTCGCGGCGGCGGCGGCGGCGGCGTCGTCATCGGCGGCGGCGGCAGGGAGTGCCGCGGACCTAGCGGCGGCGGCCTCCGCTCGAACGTCTCCTCGCTGCCGCGGCGGCCGGCCCGTGGCTGCCAAGGGCCCCTGCCGCCCGCCCCCGGGGGCAGCTCGCTCGGCAGGGTCTCGATGGGCGGCGGGACGGGGTCCAGGCACAGCGGTGCGGTGGTGGACGGCGGCGGCGGCGGCGGCGTCGGCGTCGGCGTGGGTTTGGCCGATTGAGGCGGCGGCTGCGGCGGTTCCAGCTTCCACGGCACCGGCGCGGACATGCCCGGCGAGGGATCTGCACGGCACATGGCGTGGCGGACAAGCGTCGTCGGCGAGAGCCCGCCGACCGTCGCCGTCGTGTGTATTTGTATGTGTATCGGATCGCCGACGGCGGACGACGTCCCCGTCACTGCGGCGAGGTCCACGCGGTTCTGTTACACCTGGCTGACAGTGCCGCGGCAGCCTGACGTCCACGCGCACCCACGCACCTCCGGGAGCAAACCCACCGGACACCACACCCCCTGCCCCGTGTTCCCGAGATCAACGTGGTACTCGTGCAACTCCTGACGACGAAATGTGCGTCTCCCCTCTACACACACGTGACCCAGAATCAAACCACTGAACCCGCATCCCCAAAGAGTTCCAGACGGTACCGGTCCACCTCCAGACAGAGTAATTGAAGCCTCTCTATACACAGAGACCCCAATAAACAAACCACTGAACCGATATTCCAAAGAGTTCCAGACGGTACCGTTCCACCTCCAGACAGAGTAATTTAAGCCTCTCTATACACGAAGACCCCAATAACCAAACCACTGAACCGGTATTCCAAAGAGGGCCAGACGGTACCGGTCCACCTCCAGACAGAGTAATTGAAGCCTCTCTATACACGAAGACCCCAATAACCAAACCACTGAACCGGTATTCCAAAGAGGGCCAGACGGTACCGGTCCACCTCCAGACAGAGTAATTGAAGCCTCTCTATACACAGAGACCCCAATAACCAAACCACTGAATCGGTATTCCAAAGAGTCCCAGACGGTACCGGTCCACCTCCAGACAGAGTAATTGAAGCCTCTCTATACACAGAGACCTCAATAACCAAACCACTGAACCTGTATCACCACAGAGGTCCAGACGGTACCGGTCCACCTCCAGACAGAGTAATTGAAGCCTCTCTATACACAGAGACCCCAATAACCAAACCACTGAACCTGTATCGCCACAGAGGTTCAGACGGTACCGTTCCACCTCCAGACAGAGTAATTGAAGCCTCTCTATACACAGAGACCCCATAACCAAACCACTGAACCGGTATTTCAAATAGGGCCAAACGGTACTGGTCCACCTTCCGACAGAGCAGCGGCAGCCTCTCCTCTGCGGCGAGAGTGTGAATATTCCACTCGGCTGAACCGCGGTGACCAGAGGGCATTAGAGGGTCGTCTCTCTCTCTTACCCCACTGGGTCCTTCATGAATAGTGGTAGCTGGAGGGGTTACCAAACACTCCTAGTCTCGTTACAAGATAAGATCTGTAGTGTAGCATCAACAGACCGTTGGGACAAGTGCCGTTAGCCAGCAGCAGCAACACCTATGCGTGTGTGTATGTTGAAGTAACCTTCGGGTGTCTCTGTGTGTCTCTGTCGGTGTCTGTGTGTCTCTGTGAGTCTCTGTGGGTGTCTCTGTGGGTGTCTCTGTGGGTGTCTGTGGGTCTCTGTGGGTCTCTGTGGGAGTCTTTGTGGGTCTTTGTGGGTCTTTGTGGGTGTCTCTATGGGTGTCTCTGTGGGTGTCTCTGTGGGTGTCTGTGGGTCTCTGTGGGTCTCTGTGGGTGTCTCTGTGGGTGTCTCTGTGGGTCTCTGTGGGTGTCTTTGTGAGTCTCTGTGGGTGTCTCTGTGGGTGTCTCTGTGAGTGTCTCTGTGGGTCTCTGTTTGTGTCTCTGTGAGTCTCTGTGGGTGTCTCTGTGGGTGTCTCTGTGGGTGTCTTTGTGGGTTTCTGTGGGTGTCTCTGTGGGTGTCTTTGTCGGTTTCTGTGGGTGTCTCTGTGGGTCTCTGAGTCTCTGTGGCTGTCTCTGTGGGTGTCTCTGTGGGTGTCTCTGTGGGTTTCTGTGGGTGTCTCTGTGAGTCTCTGTGGGTCTCTGTGGGTGTCTGTGGGTGTCTCTGTGGGTCTCTGTGGGTGTCTCTGTGGGTGTCTTTGTGTGTGTCTCTGTGGGTCTTTGTGAGTCTTTCAACAAGATCAAAATCATCAACCACATCAACATCACCATTAACCACATCAACATCACCTATCACCACCAACCACATCAACATCACCCACATCAGCATCACCCATCAACTACATCAACATCACCATCAACCACATCACCATCAACCACATCACCATTAACATTACCCAGATCAACATCACCCACATCAGCATCACCCATCAACTACATCAACATCACCATCAACCACATCACCATCAACCACATCACCATTAACATTACCCAGATCAACATCACCCACATCAGCATCACCCATCAACTACATCAACATCACCATCAACCACATCACCATCAACCACATCACCATCAACATTACCCAGATCAACATCACCCATCACCATCAACATCACCCATCAACCACATCAACATCACCCATCAACCATAACTCAAATCGACTTCACCCATCAAGCACATCAACATCACCCATCAACGTCGCCACCACGTGTGAGGCCGACAGCCCCTTGTGGAAATTCCACATTCCGATGACGCAGCCCAGGACATCCATATCGGGTGCACGCAAAATAGTACCAATTTTACCCGTCCCAGAAGGATGGGGTGATGATGGTGGTGGTGCTGGGGCTCGCTCCGTGCCCCTTGGGAGAGAAGCGCGTGATATACACAAAGTGGTACCAGTTTATCGACCCCCCCCCCCACGCAAAGAGTGATGATTGGCTGAGTATTAACCAGGTTGTGCAGTACTCACCGCGTGATGGTCGAGACGTGTGTGTGTGTCTGTGTGTGTGTCTGTGTGTCTCTGTGTGTATGTGTGTCTGTGTGTGTGTCTGTGTGTGTGTCTGTGTGTGTGTGTCTGTGTGTGTGTGTCTGTGTGTGTGTATGTGTGTCTGTATGTGTGTCTGTATGTGTGTCTGTGTGTGTGTCTGTGTGTGTGTGTCTGTATGTGTGTGTGTGTCTGTGTGTTTATGTGTGTGTCTGTATGTGTGTGTCTGTGTGTGTGTGTGTCTGTGTGTCTGTGTGCGTGTGTGTGTCTGTGTGTGTCTGTGTGTGTGTGTCTGTGTGTGTCTCTGTCTGTCTGTGTGTGTCTCTGTGTGTGTGTCTGTGTGTCTGCGTGTCTCTGTCTCTGTGTGTCTATATGTGTGTGTCTGTGTGTCTCTGTCTCTGTGTGTCTCTATGTGTATGTCTCTGTGTGTGTCTGTCTCTGTGTCTCTATCTCTGTGTGGGTGTGTCTCTGTGTGTATATCTGTGTATATCTCTGTGTGTGTGTGTCTCTGTGTGTATTTATTTGTCTGTGTGTGTCCCTGTGTGTGTCTCTGTGTGTGTGTCTCTGTGTGTGTGTCTCTGTCTTGTGTGTCTCTGTGTGTGTCTCTGTGTGTATCTTTGTGTGTGTGTATCTTTGTGTGTGTGTGTCTCTGTCTGTGTGTGTCTCTGTGTGTGTGTGTCTCTGTGTGTGCGTCTCTTCCGCCTTAAGAAACCCGTCTGACTTGTACGATGACTCTCACGGAATTCACCGCCGCCTGTCGCCCACAAAGGCAAAGGCTGCCCGGGTAGCCTGCACGCACCTTTTGGGGCAAGTGCTCAGTTAAGGCCGAGTATACCTAGGGGTGGCCCCGAGCGGGAATGGATCGCGGGTTACAGCGCTAACCATTGCACGCCGCTCCCTGCGCATGCCGACACAAAGCAAGGCAAAGACAAAGATCCCCCGTGTAGCCTCGAACAGAGTGTTGGCTGTCAGTAGGAGCAAGCAGCAGCACTGAACACACACACACAGATACACACAGACACACACACAGACACACACACACAGATACACACAGAGATACACACAGACACACACATACACACACACAACAACAACAACCGCCATTCGCCACTAAGTGGCGGTGACGTCACCACGACGCTTGTGCCAAGCTATGTGCACCCTGAGGCCACGTGAAGTGACGAACGTCCACTGGCAGGAGGTCACGGGGCAGACTCAGCAGGTGCCACGGGTCGACTGACTGAGATGACTGGCTGATGCACCACCTGTGCCTCCTACTGTGCCAACCTGCTGTGCTTTAGCCACCCGGCGCTCTGCTCGTTGTTCTGAGCGTCGCTCCTCCGCCCTCCGTTGTTGTTGGAGGGCGACTACCTCCAACTGCCCAGTAGCATCCTTCACGAGCCTCCTCCACAGAAGCCGATCTTGACACTGCTGGTACCAGTCATCGGCAAGTCCACTCAACTCCACGTCCTCCTGTACCACATCACTCCATCTCTTCTCTAGCCCATGCCGCGCCCGCTTAGCCCCCTCGATCCGGCCGAACAAAAGCTGTTTCGCCATGCGGTGGCTGGGCATGCGGGCTACATGACCCAGCCATCGCAGCCTTCCCCGCCGGAGGAGCTCACCGATGGGACCTTGCCCAGATCTTTCAAGGATTTGTGAGCTCCTCACACAATCCAGTCTGGTTAAACCCAGGATGGATCGTAGGCAGGCCAGCCTAAATATTTCCAACCGGCGAAGATGTTCCATCAGGGGGGTCCACGTTTCGCAAGCATAGAGAAGGGAGGGAATGACCGTGGCCGAGAAGACCTGAAGCTTAGTGCGGAGCAACAGACCAGGTAGCTTCCACACAGCGTTACGCAACCGATGAAAAGATATTGCCGCTCGACTGATTCGGAGTGAGACCTCTGCTGTTAAACTGGAGCCAGTCAGAAGCAAACTGCCCAGGTATGGGAAACTCTCCACTCTCTCCACAACTTCCCCATCACCGATTGGGAGTTGTGGGGGTGGAGTGTCCGATGGTACAAAATGCCCAGGCAGGTGCTTAGTTTTGGTGGGGCTGATGGTAAGGTTCCAGTCTCAGCAGCAGCATCTCCAACTCCTCCTCTGACTGAGCAGCTATTACCAAATGATCAGCATACATAACGTGGTTGAGCAATAGGGAGCCATCCCTTGACCGCACCCGGGCATCGATCAGCCTCCCATTATATCTGTACCATATGGAGATTCCGCCAGTACAGCTATTGAAGGCTTCACGAACTACGTGGTCAAAATAGATGTTAAATAATGTGGGAGCCAGAGGACATCCCTGTCGCACCCCAAGGTGGACAGAGAATGGCTTTGACTCCCGGCCACGTAGTTTTACCCGGGCCCGCTCACCATCATGAAGGTCCTTAATGATCGTGAGCAGAGGGTCAGGTACTCCAAAAGCACGAAGAACAACCCAGAGCCCAGGCCTACTGATGGTATCATAGGCCTTGACCAGGTCAATAAACCAGAGATGTAGTTCTTGTTGGAATTCCCTACACCTCTGCTGTAGCAGACGGACAGAAAATATGGCATCTGTGCAGGACCGCCCTTTCCTGAAACCGCATTGGGGCTCCGCAAGCCTCTCCTCAGCGTGCATGGCAAGGCGATGCTGAATAATCCTTGCCAGGACCTTTCCCGGCACACTGAGGAGTGAGATGCCCCTGTAGTTGTTACAGGCTGTGCGGTCCCCCTTCTTAAAAAGGGGGACCACCAGGGCATCCTTCCAATCCTGCGGAACCCGTACAGTGGTCCAGACCGTTGTTATGATGTCATAAAGGCAGTCTGTGCACAAACGCCGCCCTCCCTCAGCATTTCGCTTGGGAGATCATCTCTGCCCGCTGCCTTTCCTGGTCTCAGACTCCGGATCTCCTTCAGTACTTCCTCAACAGATGGCACCTCAGCCAACCACTCACAGGGGGTGACTTCTTCCAATATTTGAGGCACCGCAGCCTCAGCAGGGTCACCCTCACTTTGTGCCACGATGTTTTCCTGGCTGAGGGATTTTCCCTCCCCCAGGACCTCACAGAAATGCTCAGCAAATCTGCAAACCTGTTCCTGGGAGTCGGAGATTGGATCACCGTTTTTTCCCCTAATGATGGCAATAAGTGTGGCGCTGCAGGTTACCTTTTTGATGGAGTTAAATAGAGATTTGTGATCACGGGCCACTGAGGCAGACTCCATCTCCTCAGCAACCCGCGACCACCACCCATCCTTGCAGCGCCTCACGGCTCTCCGAACCTCCGAGCGAAGGCTGCGGTAAGCCTCCTCATTCTCTGACGCGGGATTCTGTAGCCGATGACAGTGGGCCTGTCGCTTTTTCTCAACCATCCTGAACACCTCCTCTGTCAGCCAGGATCCCTGGGGAGGTCTGGACCGCGTACCCAAAGCAGCCAGTGCAGCTGCATGACCCACAGTCCTAAACCTCGCCCATTTACCCTCGACATCAGGAGTCGGGGACGATGCCAATCCCAGCCACAAGCGATGATGAAATTCTCGCTTGCAACTTTCATCAGATAACTGAGACCAGGCCACTTTAGGTTGGAATTGGGTCCTGGGTGTACACCCACCACCGGAGTGGAAGAATGGCAGGCGCATCTTACAAATGACTAGTCGATGGTCAGAGGGCAGATCAGCTCCACGGTAGGTCCTGGTGTCAAGGACATCGACTCGCATCCGCTGGTCCGTCACTATAGAATAGTCCAGCAGATGTTCTTTCTTGGACCTGGCATGCATCCATGATGTTGTGTGGATGCGCCTATGCCAGAACAGCGTGTTGGTAATTACAAGCCCATGGGCTGCACAAAAATCTAGCAGCCTCCTACCGTTGTTATTGAGCTGATCTGGCCCATGCCCTCCAATCACTCCAGACCAGGTGCCAGTATCATGACCAACTCGGGCATTGAAGTCACCCAACATGATGACTCTATCCCGAGGGGCCACTTTAGCCAGCACCTGTGACAGGAGGTCATAGAAGGCATCTGACTCATCGGCTTTGCCTGCATCCCTCCACGGATGTTCATCTTCGGTAGGGGCATAAGTAACCACGACCACCATTCCTCGCCTCCGGTTGATGGGAAGGCGAGCCCAAAGTAGCCTAGGACTTACAGCTTCCCACACCTCACCGCCACGCTCCCACGCCCCCTTCATTCTTTTGTTCAAAAGAAGAGCCACACCCTGTTGTTTGGCAGTCTGCTGCCCCGAGTAGAGAACTGTCCACCCCTCATGGTGGCAGGAGCCAGAGCCGCTCCACCGGACCTCCTGAATGCCACAGAGATCCAGGCGGTACCAGTCCAGCTCCCGACAGAGGAGTGGCAGCCTCTCCTCCGCAGTGAGCGTTCGAACATTCCACGTGGCCACCCATAGTGGCTTTTCGTTGTTTCTGGAGGAGCCCCGAGGGTAGATATTCAATCTCCTGGCTCTGCCAGGAGATTGAATATTCAATCTCCTGGCTCTGCCAGGAGATTGAATATCTACCCTCGCTGCACCAGGTGATTTTCGCTGCACCAAGTGATTTTTTGCTGTGACTGCTTCCACCTGAAGACGGAAGCTTGTGTGTTGGCTCCGAAACGTCGTGTTTTAATTGTCTATTTTATTTTAATTTGTCTTTTTTTTACCTACGTGACTTTACCGAATAAAACCAAAGAGTGTGAATTCTTGCAGTCACGAAAGCTTCAAATCTAGAATTGATAAGCATTCGTTAAATTTTGATTTAAAGCTTTCGTGACTGCAGTAATTCATATTCTTAGCTCTTTCGGTAAAGTCACGTTGAAGGGAAACAATAAAATAATAAAATATATATAAAACAATAAAAATTCTCACGACGTTTCGACCATACACACCTGATGACGACCGTTTGTGCTATGGTCGAAACGTCGTGAGAATTTTTATTGTTTTTTATATATTTTATTATTTTATTGTTTCCCTTCAACGTGACTTTACCGAAAGAGCTAAGAATAAGCATTCGTTAGGCAAGCAGGCTCACTGCCGCACACCATTGCTCCAAGACATTTCGC